GCACAAAATAATATATTCTTTTATGAAGAGGAGGTTATAGGATAGTGTCGGAATACCAGTATCAAGCAGATCATCTATAACATATTTGCCCAAATTGGTGATAGAAGAGATCCCATAGGACGACCATGTGTCTGAGAATATATTTTGTTGTTGAACCTGAAGTAGTTATAATGAAAGAGAAATGTTATAATGTTGGTGAAAGATTCTAGAGATATGTTGCAGTGCTGACTTATCTCATCCCAATGTCTATTTATAGATCTAGTACATACATCCGGATAGATATTACTGAATAGCGACACCACATCAAGACTGGCGATAATGTGATCAGGTGGTATTGGCAACCTGTTGAACTGGCGAGAGCCATCAACGAGTCTTTGATCTAGTAATCATTATCACTATGTGCCGATTTTAATGTTTCCGATATTAATGAAGACAAAGCCTGGGTGGCTGAACCGATTGACGCAACTATAGGTCTTACTGAGAATACAGGTTTATGTATTTTTGGAAGTGCATAGAGTTTAGGAGGGACTGAGTTATAAGTAGTCAAAGTTCTTTTTTGTTCTTGGGTTATTTGACCAGTGCTGAGGAGTTCCTTAATGTCATTACTTTTCTTTTCCACCTCTGATGTAGGATCTCTATTAATTTCGTGGTATGATGGATCATCATTGATAAGATTGTTACAAAGATCCAAATAGTGTTGTCTTAACATTACCACTGTAACATTGCCTTTGTCAGATCTTGTGACCATGAGTTCAGGATGTTGTTTTAGAAATTATCTAGTTTTTTTTAAAAGGTTGTGATAGAAGGAATGTTTTTTATTAAGATTGTTGCTGTGATAACGGTTAGTGATGAGGTTGGTGGAACGAGTTGTAAAAATGTTTCTTTCAGTGTCATCAATGTCTTAGTTGCCTAGATTTGAAATTATTAATAATTAAGGGAGAAGTGGAAGAAAAAGAAATTACGTCACTTTTGAGTGAGTTGAGGGTGGAATGAAGTTCCTTCAACTGATATTTTTAATCCGTTTTGATGTGTTCCTGACATACAGCTGTGTGTATTTTATACTAATTTTGAAGAATGTACCATGTATCCAGCTTTCACCAGGTTACTAAATGTTTCCCTCAACTTAACCTTTAATAACATGTAGCAACAATCTCACATACAATTGTAAGTAATTTAAAGTCATTTTGCACAATAGTTGCTACTTCTTCTTAATGTTATTGCACCTCCTGATGATGATGGCAAAGTCCATTGAATGCTAGAGACTAATAAAGTATAAAGAGTCCTCATTGCTTGAATTTTGTCGATGTACCCAACTAATGGCGGAAGCTTTATTTTTCACCTAACTGGTCTAGACGACAATGACCACGTCTCAAGTTACATTCACAGACTTGGGGTTTTTCAACACTATCGAAGAACGTCATGGGAACTAGGCAGTAAGACTGATGAAGGATTGGATCAAGGGCAGAAAACGACTAGCACAGGAGATCAATCGTGAGATTTTCTTATTAAAATGTAGAAGACGTGGCATCACACCACCTCATATCACCCACCGCTTAACATAAATCACACACATTCTACACAACCATTCAGTAGAAGTTGGGATGAAAAATCCTCTGAACAGGTTAGGTGATAAAATACTCACACTTGAGATATCTTCCTGCCACAGACAGTTAAAGAAACTTCATTCCACACTCAACTCACTCAAAAGTGACATAATTTCTTCAACTTCTCCCTTAATTTTTAATAATTTCAAATCTAGACAACTCAGACACTATAATAAAATTTTCCACAACATTAAGAACTCTAATGTTCGTAAGTTTGGCAGATTGTTAAATGACTCTATGAAAACTTTGCTCAACACTCAGCCAAACTGGATCAAGAATCTCAGTAATGTTGACATCCCTAATGACATTTTAAAATTTCTTTCCCTGGGGCCTAAGTTCAGTGTGGAGCCGATTGTTAACAGTGACATTCCAATCAGATCTATCCTAGCCGATCTCGACATATTAGCATCCTCCATAAGTGATGACACTGAGAGAAACATTTTTACAACTCGTACCACCAACCTCATCACTAACTATTATCACAGCAACAATCTTAATAAAAAACATTCCTTATATCACAGCCTTTTAAACAAAACTAGAAAATTTCTAAAACAACATTCTGAACTCATGGATATTTGTATCAATCTTATCAATGATAATCCATCATACCCAAGAACAAAAAAGAACTTTGACTACTTATTACTCAGTCCCTCCTAAATTATATTATTATATATAGTTCCATCAATAGGTTCAGCCACCCAGGCTTTGTCAAGTATCAAAGCTCTTGATAAAAAAATCACCTATCCAAAGGTTTATTCCTGGAAATGGCCCACATTTTCATGAATAACAACTGTATGAATAAGAAGACAGACGTTAAGCAACTGAGCGTCATTTACTCATATTTGCTAAACTGCGAAAAGTTGGAGCACTTAAACATCTCCCCAAATTTTGATTTTTCACAACCATAAATGGAATCTGGTTTTTTGGTCTATTCATAGCAACATATTTGGCAACATAGCACACATTTTTACAAAAATTTTCGTACCATCCATCGACACTGACACCACCAGCCTTCTGCCATCTGTCAAATGTTTCATCCTACTGATGATCTTGTGCCACACCATTTTGTGCAGTACCAGGTTGTTTCACGAAGTAACATGTAATAATTTTAACATTCGTTCCAAATATTTTAATCCGTTTTGATGTGTTCTTGACATACAGCTCTGTGTATTTTATACTAATTTTAACGAATGCACCATGTATCCAGCTTTCACCAGGTTACACCCGTATCCGGATGTATCAGCATGTATATCTACTTTTGAAGTTGCATATGTGCCTTCATTTCGGGCCTGATGAAGCCAACCAGCAGAAATACGTATCGCTCGGGTTACCTATCCTATTTTCTGCTCGAATCCACTTTCCTTCTTTTTGCGGATTTCGTCCATTATTTTCCAATTGTTTGTTATATACCTATACCACAGCAAGTGGCTATAACCGGCCGCGTGGTTGTGGTTAGATGTCGCCTTGAAAATTCAAGGTCTTGTAGCCATTTTATACTACAATGTGTAGGTTGGCATTTGTTGTGGACTTCGTGTGTGATTTTTTCCCTAACCATCTTTGTTTCCTCAGGATACACCCGTATCCGGATGTATGAGCATGTGTATCTACTTTTGAAGTTGCATATGTGCCTTCATTTCGGGCCTGATGAAGCCAACCAGCAGAAATACGTATCGCTCGGGTTACCTATCCTATTTTCTGTTCGAATCCACTTTCCTTCCTTTTGCGGATTTTGTCCATTACTTTCCTATTTTTTGTTATAAACCTTTCTCCGCATGATCATTTTCTCTTTGTAGATCCTATGGGCTTGAAGTACCACAGCAAGTGGCTATAACCGGCCGCGTGGTTAGATGTCGCCTTGAAAATTCGAGGTCTTCTAGCCATTTTATACTACAATGTGTAGGTTGGCTCATGTTTTGGACTTCGTGCGTGATTTTTTCCCTCTCCATCTTTGTTTATTCAGGTTACACCCGTATCCGGATGTATGAACATGTGTATCTACTTTTGAAGTTGCATATGTGCCTTCATTTCGGGCCTGATGAAGCCAACCAGCAGAAATACGTATCGCTCGGGTTACCTATCCTATTTTCTGCTCGAATCCACTTTCCTTCTTTTTGCGGATTTCGTCCATTATTTTCCTATTGTTTGTTATATACCTATACCACAGCAAGTGGCTATAACCGGCCGCGTGGTTGTGGTTAGATGTCGCCTTGAAAATTCGAGGTCTTCTAGCCATTTTATACTACAATGTGTAGGTTGGCATTTGTTGTGGACTTCGTGTGTGATTTTTTCCTTCACCATCTTTGTTTCCTCAGGATACACCCGTATCCGGATGTATGAGCATGTGTATCTACTTTTGAAGTTGCATATGTGCCTTCATTTCGGGCCTGATGAAGCCAACCAGCAGAAATACGTATCGCTCGGGTTACCTATCCTATTTTCTGTTCGAATCCACTTTCCTTCCTTTTGCGGATTTTGTCCATTACTTTCCTATTTTTTGTTATAAACCTTTCTCCGCATGATCATTTTCTCTTTGTAGATCCTATGGGCTTGCAGTACCACAGCAAGTGGCTATAACCGGCCGCGTGGTTAGATGTCGCCTTGAAAATTCGAGGTCTTCTAGCCATTTTATACTACAATGTGTAGGTTGACTCATGTTTTGGACTTCGTGCGTGATTTTTTCCCTCTCCATCTTTGTTTATTCAGGTTACACCCGTATCCGGATGTATGAACATGTGTATCTACTTTTGAAGTTGCATATGTGCCTTCATTTCGGGCCTGATGAAGCCAACCAGCAGAAATACGTATCGCTCGGGTTACCTATCCTATTTTCTGCTCGAATCCACTTTCCTTCTTTTTGCGGATTTCGTCCATTATTTTCCTATTGTTTGTTATATACCTATACCACAGCAAGTGGCTATAACCGGCCGCGTGGTTGTGGTTAGATGTCGCCTTGAAAATTCGAGGTCTTCTAGCCATTTTATACTACAATGTGTAGGTTGGCATTTGTTGTGGACTTCGTGTGTGATTTTTTCCCTCACCATCTTTGTTTCCTCAGGATACACCCGTATCCGGATGTATGAGCATGTGTATCTACTTTTGTAGTTGCATATGTGCATTCAATTCGGGCCTGATGAAGCCAACCAGCAGAAATACGTATCGCTCGGGTTACCTATCCTATTTTCTGCTCGAATCCACTTTCCTTCCTTTTGCGGATTTTGCCCATTATTTTCAAATTTTTTGTTATATACCTTTCTCCGCATGATCATTTTATCTCTCTCTCACTCCCGACCGTTTTTCAAGCGTATATGTAGGTGTGTACGTTTGCATGTATGTATCGTTTGATGGATTTTGACAGATGAGGTGACGTGGGAGTGATATTGACAGTCCGAGTGACACTGAGTATATTAAAACCTTTATAAAATCAGAATGGCATTTTTTAAACGAGAAACTTTGAAATTTCATTTTCAACGGCTACAGCTTAAACGGCTTGATCGATTTTGATATGAGGCTTCTCCATGTTTGTCTTGACCGTTCGAGTAACAGTGTGTACATAAAATTTTATAAAATGGAAGTGGGAATTTTAAACGCAAATTTCAAAACCATTCATCAATGGCTAAATGGATTTTGACAATTGAGGAGCCTTTAGATTTATCGTGAAAGCACAAGTAAAACTTCAGTCACTGTAGTCGAGTTTTTTGTTTCTTCGAATATACTAGTACTTTGTTCCCTAGAGATATTGTCACTCCATTTTGAATGGCTTGTTTCCAAACATCATTGGTACTGATTTTAGCTCACCCTGTAATTTATAGGCCATTGCCAAGGCCTGGATGTAATTTCACCCTCTTTAGGTTTCAGTCCTGAATTTCCTTGGAACATAACAGCATGCGACTCCAAAAACCTTTCAAGGAAACTCGGAGCATATACCTCAAAACTAACATTTGGCACTGAAAATAAAAATACAAAACTGTTTTATAAGGCAGTTTGTTGGTGTATGTACCAATGTTGGTATATTCTTATCAGACTTTTTTGTTATATTTGACGCGAAAACGTGTATTTATCCTTAACATCGTAGCATCCAAACGGTCAAACCGTCAGTAGATAGGGTTCACGAGTTCTGGAAAGGTCTCGAGTGCCGACCTTGACGTCACACGACCATGGAATGACAATGACCTTGAAAATATAAACGACCTTGAGAATTTGAATGACCTTGGCGTCTGGAGCGGATGACCTTGGATATATTCCTTTAAATATGTTTAGTGTTCAGAGAGAGCTCAGTTCAATATCTGCAACCGTTGAGTTAGTACGTAGTAATGAATAATAGGAAAAGCATATATGTGAAAAAAAGTGTGTGTTTAGTGTGTCAGACCGAAAAAAGTTTTCAAACGAAGCGCAATGGTTGCGTCGGTGGTGTTTGTGTAAAATAGTTTGTATTTTCTGCTGGAGTTACACTCATCAATGTCTAAACAGAATAGGTTGGACTGTTTAGAGATCGTAATAGCGGCAAGAAATGGATATTTTGATAAACTGGGACGATATGCAGGATCCACAAAGAGTGAGATATCCACACGTCATTATGTTATAGCGGACCTGTAAGGAGTAACGCACACGTGGAGTGGTGTGTGGGACAGGAGCGCTACAGCAAAGGAGTACACTGGTTTTATGGGCGCTGTCAAGAATAGTATTACACTGGATCAACGCTAATGGGATCTGTGGTGCGCCATAGGTGCGTTGTCGGTGCAAGATATGCTCTTTTCAGCATATACGATGACTGATATGTGAATATTGTCCACATCCATCATAAACAACAACCGAAAGGCTTCTACTGTACTAGAAGAATACGAACGAAACGGGTAAACGAATTGCGACAGTGAAAACCCAATAGGAGTATATATATATATATATATACGAGCCCCTTCCCACTTCAGTTCGCCCAACAATTGAAATCTTAGTTTTTTCTTATCAAACACAAATAATAAAAATGTAGCAGGGTGTTACAGCTTTAAAATACTAACAATGAATATTTTGATAATATACAGGGTGTCCGCAAAGTTGGGGTTTTCCTTTACACGACGTGTAGATCTTGAAAACATAAGCAATTTTTCTTAGTACCATAGACACCAATGTCTTAAGGAAACCGAGATAAAGGGCTCTGCAACATCAAAAATATCTGAATACCGTCCTGTAGCCGCGACATCCCCGAGTGGTATTAGGACACTAGCTCAACCCGACGACAGAACTGGGTCGGGGTCAGTGTGTCAGGTCAGTATGCAACCTTCAACCGAGGGTTACGGTCACGCGTGTAGAGGTAATCGCGTAGACGAAAATCCCTCAACAAGCACTACAGACGTGGCTAGAGAAGTGCAAGTATCAAAAACTAAAGTGTGGCAAACGCTGAAGAGGGGCTGTATCCGTTTCACGTCCAACGTGTACAAGCTCTTCAACCTGACGATTTTCCAGCAAGAGTGCGGTTTTGTGAGTGGTTGTTGCATCAACATGACAATAATCCGGACCTTTTGAAGTGCATATTGGTGACAGACTAATCTACGTTCACGCGTAATGGGGTGAATAACTTTCGCAACACTCATGTTTGGTCAGTAGAAAATCCGCACGCTGTCCGTCGGGCACATTTTCAACAAACATTTTCCTTCCTTGTTTGCCTGCGTCTGCTCGGTAGCGCATCAGCTGATTTCATTCTCTGTTGGAGCTGTATGATTTCGGGCAGAGACGTACTTAGCCCTTCTCGTCAACTGAAGAGTGAGTACTTTTTCCTTTATTTTTTTTTACTTGGTCTATAATGCATAGGTGGCTGTGAAAAATAAAAGCCATGACAATTGTTTTTATTAATCACAGCTGTCAGAATAAGTTTAAAATACTTTTGGGTAGTTAAGGTTTTCAAAATGGGTAGAGGAAAGGTTATTAGTGAGATAATTAAATTTTTTAATTCTGGGAAATCAAATTCAGAAATTGCAACTTTGTTAGACTTATCGCGTTACAGTGTGAGAAATATTGTTAGAAGATATAACGTAACCGGTTCAGTTAATATTAAGCCACGATATGTGAAAAAAAGTAATATCACAAATGCCGACCGAAGAGCATTAAGAAGAATAATCGTGAAAAACGGGCGTGCCAATTATTTACAATTAAGTGCTCTGTGGAAGGAGAATTTCGAGGTCCACAACTCATAAAGAGGCCCATAAACTGGGATTTAGCACTTGCAGGGTAAGTTTTCCTATAAAAAACAGTGAAGTAAAACCCTAAAGTTGCACAACTTGTTTATAGGCCAAAGAAAAGCCACTATTAACTCCACTGCAAAAGAAAAATCGGCTTAGATGGGCTAAAGAACATGGACAATGGACAGCTCAACAATGTTGTGCAATACAATGGAGTGATGAGGCCCGATTCGAAGTTTGTGTTGGTGACCGTCGCAGTAGAGTTATTCGCAAAAAAAATTAAGCATTCCATGTTGACTGTCTGAAGAGAAAAGTGAAATTTCCAGCATCCATTATGGTCTGGGGCAGTATGTCATCAGAAGGAGTAGGAAAACTTCATTTTATTGATGGAAATGTGGATACAAACAAAAATTTGGCAATTTTAGAAGAATCGCTTTTACCAGTGATGGAAGAATGTTTGGCATCCGGCCAAGATTTTGTGTTTCAGCAAAATGGTGCAGCGTGCCATACATCAAAAAGGCTATAAAATGAATGGAAGAAAATAATGTACCACATTTGAAATGGGTTTCTAGCAGTTCAGGTCTGTCACGTATTGAAACTTTGTGGCACGAGATGAAAAAGGTTCTACGACAACATCCTGCTCGTACAATCACCGAACTGAGACAAAAGCTTCAAGAAATGTGGGATTGTTTTACACCAAATTTTTGCCAAAACTTGGTTAACACTATGCCCCAAAGAATTTCAGCCGTAATAAAATATAAAGGTGATGTTACCCAATGGTAATCTTTCAATTGTTGCTTTGTTAAGTTCGCGCATTTATTCGCACATTGTTTATTTGCTCAGATGTTCTATTAGTTATAGGTCTAAGTGATTTCAAATATGTATTTTTTACGACTAGAGTGTATCTAAAATGTTTTTGAGAAAATAAATTGTTTTAGAAGTAAATAGTTTCGTCATGTTTAGTTTATAAAGGCATATTTTGGTACAAATCTTGAAGTGGGCCAACTAAAGTGGGAAGGGGCTTGTATATATATACGAGTATTTATATATAGGGTGGCCCATCCATGTGTGGACGGAATATTACTCACAAACAAATACATTTTGGAAAAATTTATTTATGGCATGCGATACATGGCATTTGAGGGCACATTCCTAAAATATTGGCAATTATACAGGGTGTCCCAATGTTGACCTACATATCAAAGTTGTGATTTTTTAAATGGAACGTCTCAAATTTTATTGCATATTTGGATAAACCAAGTCAAAAGAAGATTGATATAACATACTATGGGGTTTTAGTAATTAGCTACTGAGATGTAAGGTGTTTTGTCCAGAAAAACCGTCCACTTCGGCAACCCCTCAATCCGCCATTTTGAAATTTGGAGTTCTGAATTTTGTATAAAAAAAACTTCTACACCTCAGCTTTTATCTTATTCGTTACTTTTTAAAATTTTCATTGTTGCTCCTACAGGGTGGTCAAGAACGCGAATTGTACTTTTTCTCAAAAATTTCAAATGCATTACCCTGTATATTTGTGCAAGTTTAGATTCAACTTTTGTATAAGCTTTTTTTTGGTATAAGGTTTGATTCAGATAAAATCACTAGATTTTGAGTTATTAAGATTTTACTAGAACAACACATCAAAATTAAGTAAAAAAATCACATTATCCATAGAAACAAAACACAAACAGTGGGCTAGTTTCATATTGCCACTGAGGCCCGTATCGTCAGTCGACCCTACAATTGTAGGGTGCGTTTATGGCCTCCTTGATTGTCATACTCCTTTCCCTCCTTCAAAAATTTCTAGATTACACTTGGCCCGTATCAGCGTCAGCGCTCTCTTATTGTGAAGATATGTTTTCTTTTTAAATTGTAGAAAATTTCAGGCTGATAAAACATGATATAACTCAAAACCAAGCACAATTTGAAGCAAATTGATGTTTGTGACATAACCTCAAAATAGAGCGCTGACACGGAGAAGTAGACAACTATGACAATCAAGGAGGCCATAAAGGCGCCCTAAAATTGTAGGGACGACTGACGATACGGGCCTAAGAGTACAGATTTGACGTAAAAACTAATAACAATCAGAACAGAATAAATCAGTTTAGTTAGAAAAACAACTTTTACAACAACATAAACAAACAACTATCACTACTCAAGACCTAATCTACAATAACTGCTCGAAAATATCTCCACCATGTTGAATACACAGCCGTAGTCTTTGGATAAATGACCGTTGCACATCCCTCAGCATGTGTTCCCTTATATTCAGAAAAGCATCCTTAATCCTTTCCTTCATATTTTCTGGGGTAGATGGTGGATATCTATAAACCTCTTGCTTAACGTAGCCCCATCGAAAGAAGTCCATCGGTGTCATATCTGGTGATCTAGGAGGCCAAGATATAGGCCCATCACGACCGATGTCCAAATAGTTACGCACACGATTATGAGAATGCGCAGGTTCACCGTCATGTTGGAAGTACATATGCATCCGAGTTTGCAGGTTGACATCCTCCAAAAGCAAAGGCAAATGCTCGATCAAAAAATGCAAGTATTCTGTACCTGTTAATCTGTTATCGATAAAAAAAGGCCCGACAACTTGTCTTCCAATAACTCCTCCCCAAACATTCAAGCTCAATTTATTTGAAATCTATTTGCCTAACCCAGTAAGGGTTTTCCGTCGCATAATAGTGCATGTTATGCCTGCTGTTAAAAGTTGCCTCGACACTAAAAAGAACCTTATCCAGGAAAGTAGTGTCTTGTGAATAATCCTTTGGACAGAAATTCTGCATATATCAATTTCTGCTCCAATTTACCGTGCTATTAAATGCAAAACGTTCTCGTAGTATGGAAAATGTTTCCGGCCTTGGATGTCGCATATTAGGGTACTGTTGCTTATAAATGCGAGATGCTTGGCAACTATTTCTTTGGGCTTCGCCCAAAACAAACAGCATATTCACCATTTCTTCTTTAGAAAAAATCATTTTCAAACTCGTTTTGATTATAATGCTCTCAAAGCTAACTTTGACAGTTTGTAACTAATCAACAATTTTTTGTTTCCAAGGATGATATTTGAGGGAATTAAGCCATTCCATAAAAGACGTGCTAATAACCGAAGAAACAGCCGTAAAAACCCTTATGTGTCTAGTATAAAAAACGCCTATAAAAAATTGAATCCAAACTTGCACAAATATACAGGGTGGTGCATTTGAAATTTTTGAGAAAAACTACAATTTGCGGTTTTGACCACCTTGTATGAGCAAAAATTAAAATTCGAAAAAGTAAAAAAAAAGTTAAAAGCTGAGGTGTGCAAGTTTTTTTGATACAAAATTCAGCACTCCAAATTTCAAAATGGCGAACTGAGAAGTTGCCGAAGTGGGGGGTTTTTCTAGACAAAACACCTTATATGTCAGTAGTTAATTAGTATGTTATATCAATTTTCTTCTTTTGAATTGGTTTATCCAAATATGCAATAACATTTGAGGCATTCCATTTGAAAAATCACAACTTTGATATGTAGGTAGAAATCGGGACACCCTGTATAATGTCCAATATTTTAGAAATGTGCTCTCAAATGTCATGTATAACATCCCATAAATAGATTTTCCCAAAATGTATGTGTTTATGAGTAACATTCCGTCCACAAATGGATGGGCCACCTTGCATATACTTTGAAGTTGAGTCATTAATTTTCAGATAATGATTGTAGAAGGAAGATAAACCAAAATATGTGTGTAAATAAAAAAAAAATTAAAAAAAAATGTTACCTTGTTTTATAAAGTATCCTCCCGACAAGTATTTCAGTGCGGACCTGTATTTGATCGTGAGGTCTTGGAGCACCGGCATGCCGTCCCCTGTATACAGGGTGACTTCGAAGTTGAGTCATTTATTTTAACAGTGAGTAGATCTGATCAAAAGAAATGTTTTTTTCCTTTACCATTTTTCTGGTAAAATTAAAGTAACAAAGTTATAGCCCTTTGGAAGTTTGAGTACCGCCTTGTCTCAATAATAATATCATGTGCTAGTGTTTGGCAACAACGGATATAATCCACCTTATCGGTTCATCGCATCGGAAACAAAAAAGCGAAAGAATTTTGAACGATGTTTTTACAATTGTTTTATTCAGTTCAGTTATACATACAGTCAGTGTCGTCAGTCGGTAACGCGTGTGAATAGTGTCTTAAGACCTCACAGGGGACCTCACGATCAAATACAGGTCCGCACTGAAATACTTGTCGGGAGGATACTTTATAAAACAAGGTAAAACATTTTTTAATTTTTTTTTTATTTTTACACACATATTTTGGTTTATCTTCCTTCTACAATCATTATCTGAAAATTAATGACTCAACTTCAAAGTCACCCTGTATATATATATATATATATAAATATATGCTAAACACATGTATTTACATTGGTTGACCGCCGTAAAAATTATAGGGTTAAGTGTAGAGTAGCTGTTAGCTAAACTTCGCCCGCTACATTGTATTCTAATTAATAAAGACGTTTTATTATTATTATTATAGTTCTTGACTAAAACCAATGTTTTCATTTTATCCACTTTTTTGTTTTTGTAAATTAGTATTTTTTAAATAAAGCACCTAGCTACTCTCCGACGAAGGGGGGAAGTGATATCATTGTCATGCGTACTTAACGGATAACAATAGAAAATACATTGTTATATGCAGTAAGTTATAGCCCTTTGGAAGTTTGAGTACCGCCCTGTCTCAATAATAATATTATGTGCTCGTGTTTGGCAACAACGGATATAATCCGCCTTATCGGTTCATCGCATCGGAAACAAAAAAGCGAAAGAATTTGGAACGATGTTTTCACAATTATTTTATTCAGTTGTATACAGTCAGTGTCAGTCGGTAACGCGTGAGTGAATAGTGGTATCTGTTGCGTGGCTCAAACGAATTCAAAAATGGCACATGTTTACGAAAATGCTGAACTTGTGGACATGATTCTTATTTACGCGGCATCACGGATTTATGCGGATCGGTTTCCCAATCGAGTGCAACCAACCCCTCGTGCCTTTGTTAATGTAGTACAAAGGGCTCGTGAATCAGGTGACTTAAGACCTCACAGGGGAGGGCATGCTGGTGCTCCAAGACCGCACGATCAAATACAGGTCCGCACTGAAATACTTGTCGGGAGGATACTTTATAAAACAAGGTAAATTTTTTTTTTTTATTTTTACACACATATTTTGGTTTATCTTCCTTCTACAATCATTATCTGAAAATTAATGACTCAACTTCAAAGTCACCCTGTATATAGAGGACATAGTAAATCATTAGGAGAAAGTATCCTTGATATTTCTTTGGGACGTCGGCAAATTTTTTACAAAGTACTCTTTTAACTTAAAACTCAAACCTTCTACGAGTATGGTCTATGCCATCATCTTCAGGAGATAAAAACAAAATTTTGGAAATAGCAACAATAAACAATTAGGAGACGTTTCATCACTTACTAAGTCGGCGAGATTGTTGTTGAAATTGTTCTTAGAAGAAAGTGGGTGAGACCACATAGTAAAACGATCATAAAGCTGGATTTATGAGGTTCGATTAGAAACATTATTATTAATCTCTCGAAAACCTAATTTAGTATGATTGAAGATTAATTATTTATTGAAAAACGTTCCGAAATTACATCTTTCCTAGAACCTCATCGACATTATTGACAAACGATTGATTGAAAATCTCGTTACATGTGTTGCCTACCATATAGGGATTGCATGTGGTATTAAGAGGAATGTATGTTATGGTACAAGATGTAATTCAAAATTTATTTTCAAAATTAATAAATGTTATTTTGGGATGAATGAATTCCAAACTTGAGGCGGAAAGATAGATACGGGGGAAATTTTTTGGAAAGTGAAATTATGCGATTACTATAATTATTGAGATACAGGCAGATCAATGTTGGGGGAGATATGACATCTTTCCAATTTTTCACAGTTCACCAAATACGAATAATGAGCTGCTTGGCATTTGCCTTTTTGTTAATACAATTTTCTGTGATAAAAATGTGAGACATTTATAGAAGCTGATTGTAGATACTAGTATGCTGTTGATTTGATCGCACAGTCCCAAGAACATCGTACGAGTTGCACTACTCACACTTTTCGAAGTAATTCTCCTCTATGTTCCATAATCCATTAACATCTCTTAGATGTGGATTACAAGATACTTCTTGTTGTTCATATCCCCATTTCGGTAGCTGTTTACCGCTGGTCGTCAGCAGGCACTGTTGTAAGTAATGGATTAATTTTATTTTATGTCTAACGGCTTGCAGTTCTCCTCCTTCTGCTACGTTTGTAATGGATAATCTCCAAACGTCATTAGCGTCGCCAGTGCCATTTTCGCCATATCCAGTAACCTAGAAACATAAAGATGTAAACAGTATAGTTAATAAATACTCTGTAGCCCTCTTAATTGTTTTTGGCTGTTTCGTATTCGAGAATAAAGACCAGAAATAAACAATTAACCAGTATCAAAAATTAGCATCGGTCGGTCGGTTTCTAAGTTTTTTCTAGTTTTAGATTTAAAAAATTGTGTAAAATAAATTGGCTCGATATTCCTCCATAAATTCTGCAAAAGTTGATGCAGCCGATATTACGATTTACAAAAAATCAACAGACGTAGTTCACGTACTTTACACTTCCAAAAGGTATTTTTATGATGAATAAGAAACATTGTGATTTTTCCAGTTCTCTGCCCGACCAGAGCACTGTCACCTCGAAGGTTAGTGACTTCTAGGTTATCTACGTTGCTACCATTAAAGTATTTGTACTTAGGGCCTTCTAGTTCTACATTATTTCGTAAAATTATTTTTATTTGCTACATGACCAGACTAAAAGTTATTTTTAGCTTTAGTTCCGATCATCGTCCATTAGCGTATGTTAATTTTAAATTTTAATTCTTCATGTCGTGCGTTTGTATAAGCACTCCACAGATCTTTCTTGAATTGGATACTATAATTTCATCAAACGACACAGAATATACTTTTTTGTCGCATGCACTTTTTGCGTACCCTTCTTACTTTTTTCGAAACAAAACTCCATTTTAGAACTGATAACATCTAATAGTTTTGAGAGTATTTGGGAGTAACGGTAACAGGATGTGCTGCAGAGGAAGCTCTGGGGCGTATACACTCCTGAGCAAAAACAAAAAGGCCACATCTGCAGGAATGGGTCTGGCTCCTAATCAGGGATCTGACCAGCCCGGACCGACGGCAGCTGTGGCTGTGGCGATAGAACAAACCCCTTCACAGGGGACGGGAGACCGCGGGTCCCAGCGGGGTATCCGCAGGAAACACCGTGGGGGAGGGGGGGGATTAAACCTGCCCCTGAGGGCAGTAACAGCGACTCGAACGAGGGTGGGATTTTAAATCGAGTCCGAGAACTCCTCCGTGGAAGCGGGGATGAGGGCGGCAGCGACAAGGAAGACTGTGGCAGCGACGGCCGTACGCCCGAATAGGGCATCCATACCGGTCGCCGGGGAGGTGTAGGAGGGGCCCCGCAACACCTATGGTAAGTCTCAGTGGGAAACCTGGCTGAGAAACCGTTTACCAAACGAGCTTTTAGCTTTTTAGCGATACTCCGGACAATAAGCTCAGAGCTTGCGTAATGACTAGCATCAATACATAGCAACTTAAAAAGTTACCTTCAGAGACCTTGAGGTTCTGAATGTCGGTAACACGCCTACTTTCAGTAAGACTGTCAGAGAAGAGGTTACCGACGTAACACATGGTAAGTTTAATTGAGTTCAGGAGATTAGGTACTGGAAAGTTTCCCTAACACAGGCCCTCAGGGGATGACCGGCGCACGGCAAGGGATATTGTCACCTTCGAAAGGATGGTATAGGTGATCGATTCGTTTGCACCATACAAAAGTCCGGCTCTATACGGCGTATTTCCGGCCATGTTCAGCATGGGCGGGATTCGGTTGTTCATTACCTGTTAAAGGTGTTTCGAGCATGTGTGGCCACGGACTTCACACCTAGAAGCTGGCGGCAGGCTAAAGTGGTATTTACCCCTAAACCGGACAGAGCTATATACGTATACTGTCCCGAAGGATTTTCGTCCTATTACCTTTTCATATTTTGTGCTTAAGGATAGTTGACAGATTTTTGAGGGCTGGTCCGCTGGAAAGGTGTGTCATTCATTCCAATCAGTTTGCATACCAAGCTGAGAAATCGACTCGGTATCGTTAGTGTGGGTACCGTTGCAAGATGTAATAAATGCGGACGCTCTGGTAAAGACAGGATCAGCCAGCAAGCTCGTTGGTCCTGAGCCAGCTTTAGGGGTGCCCGCGCAAAGAGTTAGGAGGAAAATGATGACGTGGATTGCAACACAAATGGAGAAGCATCTACAGACATCTCCGTCAGGCACGGGAACTCGACATAGGGTTTCTGGTGGGACTGTTGCCTGGCCAAAACACGTTAAGACGCCACCTGCGTGTGATGAGGGTAGCTGAGGATACCTTGTGCCCGTTCAAGTGACCTATGCATCAGCTCCTTATGGTGGCCGGTATGCCTCAAATTTCATGATTAATTCAACAACAACTAGTGGTGCACTTAAATAATTTCCCAAAGACTGATTAGAATCTACAATCAGTTGGATTCTTCTACATAGCACTAGTTATTGACAAACATTCTTTAAAATCAGCCTGATCAGTTTTTGAAATATGTGGGTACATTCGGAACACACAGTATTTTAAAAACGTGAAGTTTTCCACCTATCGTGAAATGAGATTTCTTCTTAAAATTGAACAAAAAATCACCTACCTATTCAAGATAATTTCAATGAGTTCAGAATCCCTTTGTATGTTGGAAAGACATAAGCATAAAAATTAAATCAAAAGTGCTCAAAAACAGATTATCAATCACCACATAACAGAAAACGGGCATGAAACCGCACTTTTCACAAGTCCTTTTACATTTGAATATGACCTACCCAGCGATGTAACATTTATTCAATTGGCTTGGTTGACAAAATTTATCCAAGATTGCCCAATTACGGAATGAAAATGAGTTTTTTCTAATGAATATAGTCGATTTCTTGTAGGATATCTCTCAAACTAGAGAAAATTATACAATTTGTGTACGATGTGCCCCTAATTAATATATTAAATCAAGAAATACTTCACCTGGCTTTAGCTACAAAAACCTATGTTGTCAACGGAAACTAATCGAAAACAAGTATATCTACGTTGTAAATCATATAACTCAATTAAAAACAAACATAAATGTCCAAGAAAATTGAAAAAATAATATATCTGTTGATAATTAGGTAAAGATTTTAATAATTCGTTTAACTTATAAACACATTTTTCTCTTTCTGTTGAGAATAATGATAAATAAGAAAATCATTCTACTAACGACCTTTTTTATTAAGTTGAGTATGTACCAGTAAAATGTAGGGATGTTTCCTATATGAGTGTATGTATTGTAGCAGTCAAATAAGATCGTTGAATTTTGTCCTTTCAGTACAAAATGCTAAAAATAAATTATTTTATTACAGAATACTACTTATTCTTAAACAAATATCGAGTAAATATTCAATTTACTTGATTACCGTGCAAAAGATCCTGTTTCTTTTCAACTATTTACTACTTACAACGCGTGTTTAGAGCTAATTTTTTTGGCATAACAGGGAGCCAATAATATCAAACGGTCAGGTCTACGCTACCCTGCAACCTGCCTTGCCGACTGGACGACGAGCCTGCACAGGAAACACCGCGATTTCATATTGTTGCATCAGCATTGCATTCAGAAATAAAGCTCTTGTAGCACGAATCACGAAAAGGTACTTCCTCTGTAAGTTCTCTGAATGAGTGCTCTACAATACATTAGCAAACAAGTGTCTGTTATTCCAAGTAGTGCATCCTAGTACTTCTTTTTCGGTTCAATTAAAAATACCAAAATATAGTGAATCAATCTAACATTTATTATTTCAATCTACCACTTTTTGAGCCTTACGATGTTTCCTTCAGCAATTTGATGTAACAGCCACTGAAAAGTTGTTCTGATTTCAACTATAATGAAGACTTTTCCAATGAAGCATGTATACGTTGCATGCATACTGAAATACAAATAATATTACCGCATGATTATTGCCCAGACATAAACGGTGTATTACCCAAGCATAATGGAAAAAATTGGTTTATATACCTACAACATTAAACGACAATTCGATTGAAATGTTGAATTATTTTTAAAAATATATCCTTTTTTCAACAATTCTCTCTCAGGTAAGTAATAACACTGCATTATTAATCTAGATATTGTATCAGATTTAAGCCATGGTTCGTACAATTTGCTACGTCATCGCAAATTTTTCGCCAGGAATCAAATGAAAAATAGGTTCTTGTAGCTATACCTGAAGTATTTCTTGATTTAATCTGGGCAATAGTGTCCCATCTTACACAAATCATGTAATTTTTCTCCAGTTTGAGAAACATTTTACAGGAAATCGACTGTATTCATTGGATCAATTACTTCAAAAACGCCTTCTGATCGGTCGAATTTGCGTCCTAGACGCAAATTTTGTGCCGCAGATAGGTTTACTCTGGGGTATTTGTGTTTGAACTGATATTTCTGACAGGTTAAGAAATGAACATAATCAACGTCATGAGGAGAAGTAAAAGCAAAGTGTAGATCTGACCACCTACATTAGAATGACATTTTGGCATTTGCATAATCTGCAGTTAAGTAAGTTCCACTTTCCTTCGTTCCAAAGTGCTATACCAGTGATGTCATTCTTATCTGTTCAATTCAACTGCGAACATGCTGTGATCGTTTTTTATATGCCGACGACGGCACATTATCTAATTGCTTAGAAAATCAGTGGTTGTTATCATTTAACTTTTGGATAAGGTCTAGTAACACCATCTTATGTCAAACAATTTATCAAGATATAGTGTTTTTGTCAACCCAGTTTGTGTGTGCATTTCTTGGATGTGATCGAGCATACCACGTCACAACCATGGTTATGATATTTAGGGTAATTTTTTTATTCACTTTACTTGTAGCATGTGTTAGTTGGGCAATATCTGTCATAAATAATGTAAATTAAGTAACACGATGAACCAAATAGATTTAAAGTTGGGCGAGCCACAGTTCCAAATAGTCACAACCATAGAAGTCACGATCATAGAATGGTAGTGACAAATTATCAGAGTTTGAGCTAGGTGAAGTTAATAAAGTGTTCGATGTTTGCCAAAGAATAGGAATGAAACTGAAATATTTTTTTCGTGAGTGAAAATAAGGATGACACAATCGAGCTCTTTTCGCCAAGCAGAGAAGTCAAATGACTGATTTTACCTGATAATGCTTCTTTGTGATAGGTGCTTGTTCCTTATGAGAATGCAGATTTCTTCTTGTAGGTATGTGTTCAAATCTGACAAGATCCCCATTTTTCACTATTTGCACTGTATTTACATTTGGTTCTTCATTATAGTTCTTTATTATCCACTTATTATTGTCATCCTTATGTGTGTACGTAGTAATCTAGGGGAATAATTGTAAAAGCTTATTATAGATCCTTGAGATGTGTATGAGATTAAGGACTTAATAAATTTACCTTATTTTGAACGACTGCAAGTTAGTCTCAATTTAAAAAAAGATTATCAGCGTTTTCTCCATTTCACTTCCTAGGCCTATTGTAATTGCAAAAATTTTCAAAAATGAGATGTTTTGTAGATGTTACATAACATCTATGTACATCACGAAAATCCATGTCACCTATTTCCGTCTGTCTGTCTGTCGGTCCTGTCCGCTAATCCTATAACCGCCTATAACTTGAGAATCATCTCCCGAATTTCGATGAACATTTTTCACAATGTTACTACTATGCTAACCACGCAAAAACTTTGTAGTTTTTGAAAATCGGTCCAGTGGCGGCAGAAAAAAAGGCATAAAACAAAAAACAGCATTCAAACTTATTTTTTTGACGTTTCACAGAATCCTGATCATTTCTGAAAAAATGTTAGATGTAAAAAACTTGAGGGTATTGCTTTTAAGGGGGTGGGGAGGATTTATCTCAAATTTTTGATGCTGGTACATTCAGTCGATCTCAACATTGGTAACGGAGAAGTTTCGTGATATTCAGAATCGCATAAGTAATGACATACCAGCACAATATAGACTAAATATAATCAGCAAGTGAAAAAATTATTGATATCGGCCATTAAATGACAGAGAAATTGATACTTCAATTTGGCGCATTATAGCGCGAAATCATAGCTGCCGTTCGTTCGCGTCTGACGTCACACTTTTCTAGTGCCCAGCGTCTCGTCGCGTAGGTGTTCGGCAGCGTCTGTGCGTTTAGTCATTAGTCTATAGATAATTCATAAGACACACCTGTGGGCTCGGACATGGGATGTCCAGTTGATAACTATTAGGGGTTGTAATTGTTTTGCTGGTACATTTTGGAACGGTACAGTATTTATAACAACCTTTTTTTTCTTATTTCGCTCACAACCGATCGTATATGCAGTCAACTAATTAAACAAATTGGGGCGGAAGACGTTTAGCCTACGATGTGACCCGCTGTATGTGTGCCTATGGATGTGTTTAGGAGATTGAGTCGGATCGGGCCCAGGAATCGGCCGCGGGCGTTGCAACTGGATACTGAAATGTGACGTCACGCGTAACGTACAGACGGAATAAAAATATTCTCGCGAGGCGCAACTTTGATAGGTTTTAACTTTTTTGCTTTTAGAGATAAATTAATAATTTTTTCACCATCTTGTTTCATTTTTCGTAAACTTTCATTTGAGCTATTATCAAAAAATGGAAAACTTTTCCATTCTACGCACATATTAGACATACTTCACACATCATAGATTTTTCTGTGCATTAGTCCTGAAAACATAAAAATATTCTCGGACCTCTCTCTCGACCTATGGGCCGCGGCTGCTGGCGTCGGGCGCCTTCCGTAATGTGTGTTCTGTTATGGAATCACAAGTATTTCTGTAAAAGCTTAGTATTTTTCTATGCTTGACCGCGCTACCACGCTGCCACATCTGCCCGAGTTAGGTACCGGGGAGATGGACGATGTCTATGGACTAATTGTATGGATCTGTTTAACTGAGTTTTTTCTCTTAGGGCGGGTAAGGGCGTTGCGTGGAAATTGCATCAACCCACTTGATGACATTTTTTTACGTTATATGGTATGTATTTAACAAAAACCCATGTCACTCGTTTCTGTCGGCCTGTCTGTTGGTCGGTTTGTCCGCTAATCTTATAACCGCCTATAATTTGAGAAATACCGCTAGGACTTGATGAAATTTTTACATAATATTACTACTATGCCAAGGACGCAAAAGCTGTGTAGTTTTTGTAAATCGATCATGTGGCGGCAGAGTAAAAGGCCAAAAACGAAAAAGAATGAAAATCGCTCAAACTTCGATTTTTCAGATGATCCTGATCATTTTTGAAAAAACTTTAGAGGTAAAAAACTTAGGGGTGGGGAGGGTTTATCTCAATTTTTTGATGTTAGTACATTTATACGCTCTCGATCTTGGTAATTCTATCCTTTATGACAACCTACTTTACCCGCCATTTTTAGTCTGTCTTCAAGACCAGGGTAATACACGAAAAAGAAGCCTGGTCCGGGACAGTTGCAGAAAATGCAAATGGTCGTTTCAGATACTATTGGTATACAGGGTATCCAAGATAAGGATCCTATGCATGGAGACCTCAGGTACAGCTTAGGTTAAATTACATATTTACATGTCGTTGAGAAACTTCATGGCTTACTGAGACATTTGGGAAAAAATTTGGTCATATTTTCTTGTTTATAAGAAAAATGCGTTTTTCTGTTTTTATTTTAAGTATGCGTTGCAAACAATGCTTGACTTGATGTACCTGTCACCGAGTATGATTTTTATTGTGTGTTGTTAATATTGCTTAATTATCGTCGTTGATGTCAGACGGTCATTTAGCAATAAAAAAGTTCGACATGGTGACGTGCTACATTTTGTGCTGTAGTCAAAACTCATATTCCATCAAAAGCACTTTTGACCGAAAAAATCGGTCAGAAGAGCTTTTGGTCGATGATCTTGGTCAAAACCACTTTTGACTGACGTTCATGGTCGAAAATGGTTTTCCCTGACTTGGGGCTTAGAATATCGATATAAACTCATAATAGGTTGAGCGAGTTACTAAAAATTATCAGAACAATCATCAAAAAGCCCAAGTTTTTTGTCCAAATAAAAATTAAATGACGAGACCTGTAAACTATGAACAAAGCTCAATTATTTTTCGTAGGTATGGCGCATGCTACAAAATGATGATTTGCCAATACTATAACACCTATGAGGATGAAAGGGTTTCATAAGACAAACGTAATAAGCACCGTGGCGTCGTTCTAAATTCAATATGGTGACCGCAGCCCGATGGCGTTTATGATTTCCATAGACACCTCTATGGTATAGGTTTCAAATGTAATGCATTAGTGAGAGAAACATAATTAGCAATGTGACGTCATTCTTAATTCCATATAGCGGCGGCCGCAAAATATCGACTTATCATTATGATACGGGTATTGAATGAAAACGCTGGAGCGCAGTAACCAAAGAGACGTGATTCTAAATTCAATATTGCGGACATCTGAAATGACAATGCAATATTATTATGACGGATATGGTTTGATGATGGAGCTGGGACGTGACCATGGGTACTCTGTAATGAATTGATGCAACCCAGTAGTAGAGCTAAGAGAGTTCCACAGCGGAAGTGAGACTAAACAGCCGATGGACGGTTGCAGGTTCGCGTTATCAGCGCGACGACGTTCCCATGCGGATGTGTGTCCGATAAGGTGAGGTGTAGTGTATACAGGGAGAGTCAAGAAGGTTGTATACAGGGTGAGTCAAAAGGTTGGGAGCGTTAAAAAAAAAAGATGGCGGTGTATGGACAACGTTCCCATGCGGATGTGTGTCCGATAAGGTGAGGTGTAGTGTATACAGGGAGAGTCAAGAAGGTTGTATACAGGGTGAGTCAAAAGGTTGGTAGCGTTAAAAAAAAAAGATGGCGGTGTGTGTGTACAGATTTTATGTTTCTAGCCATTGCTCCAGAGTTTTCAAATTACCGATTATATATATTGCACATGATATGCTTATATATATATAATCATTCTCAATCAAGATATCTGAATGAACATAATTACAACGGATCTCTTTATTCTGTTGATGATTAACTTTCAAGAAAAGTATAGTTGATGGACCGCTTAATAATGCGGCGCGTTATCAACAAAGTTAATTTTAAACCGGAAGGTTGCTAAACCTTATCAGTTTGCTGTAACGCTTTGTTATTGCATTAGAGGATGATAAACACATTCACACACACACACAAATTGAGGTACTATTTAAGAGCTTGCAAACAAGCATTATCGTTATTCGAATTCAATATACTCCAATAAGTAGTTCGCCGAACGTGTGAAATCCACCACCAGTGTCTGTGCAGTGCAGTGAAAACAAATGTGAGTATTACCAATTTTTGTTTTTCAGTGCTGTGTTTCTCTACAGAGAGATTTTCTCTTTGCAGAACATGGATTTGACAAAAATTAACGAAACATCAACACATGCAGGCTTGAAGCCAGCAGTGAAGTTGCGGGAGCTACCTATCAACGTGCCTCATCTTATACTGGGTGCTAAGATAACAAAGGGGAAATTCGGGGAGTCAGTGCTGCTAGAGTTGGAGAAAAACGTAGTGTTTCTGCCAGGCCGGGTGACGGAAGCATTCAAGACCCAAATCGACAAATTTGAAGCAGCCAAGTACACCGTTACGTTTACTGGACTAGAAGAGGGAAATTTCCATCCAGCAACAAAATTTTTAATTAAGGAAGTTTAATTTGTGTATCATAAATGGAGTCGGTGAGTAACAATATCAAACGTATCTTTCAAAAAGCTTTCAAACAACTTCAAAATAACAGTAGTGATGACGATAAACGAAAATGGATTAAGAGTGCTAACAGTCAAATTAGGATTTTGAATAAAGCCATTAGAAAAAAGGATGGAATCATTTTGGTTAAGTTCCAGAGAGATCTTTGTTATTTTAAACATTTTAGAAATCATCGCAAAAGCTTGCTAGGTCCTCATTGTGGGCGAGGTATTTCTAAAAAACGTAGCGATAGACTAAAATGGGAGGATGTTCAGTCGGCATTTTCCAGTAGAGTTCGTACTGGAGTCATTATCAATTTGAAACACAAAGATATAGTTCAGTTTTTAAATGATGCATTTTTCTATTTAAATCTCGTATAACAAACATTTTAAAAACATGTCCGATGATCAAAGTAAACACGGCATTTTGCGGGGAATTTATTAAAAAAGCAGTAAATGAAGAAGAAGAAAGATCAGAATTGAAATATTTTAATAAGAAAAATGAAATTATTGATTGCGGTACTACCCTCACCGAATGGTTTGCTGAGTTCGTTATCGAAAAAATTTTTAATAAACTGCAGGGATTTAGTAAAAAAGATAGCGGTTTCGCGCTTAGTAAAATAATACATTTAGAAGTGAATATTAATCAATCTGGCTTTAGCAATAATGCTGGATCACCCTATATCAGACTTCCTCAACAGATTGCAATTAAAAATGCTTGCGTTAACGTAAAAAATTATGATGATAACGCATGCTTTCTTTGGGCAATAATATCCGCCTTATATCCGGTAGCCGTGAATGCAGACAGAACCTCTTCTTATCCACATTACAGCTCGGGCATATTTAATTTAGATGGTATTGAAACATCTGTATCATTAGTTGACATTACAAGATTCGAAAAAAATAATGACATTTCAGTCAATATTTTCATCTTAGAATTAACAAGCAAAAATAACTATGTTACCTCACCAGCACGATTATGTAAAAATAAAAGGACAAAACATGTAAATCTACTACTGATTCAAAACATATATTATCCAAATAATTGTGAAAATATACCCAACGATACTCCTATTACATATCATTATTGTTGGATAAAAAATTTATCCCGTCTAGTTTCATCACAGACAAATAAGCACAATGGGAAAAAAGTTATTTGCGATAGATGTCTCAATTATTTTTCAACCGAAGAGCAGCTAGTTCAACATGATGAATATTGCGTTAAGAGAAATAACTGTAGGATTTCATTTTCCTCAGAAAAGCATATACAATTCAAGAATTTCATTACCAAACAAAAACTACCGTTTATCGTGTATGCTGATTTTGAGTCTATATTAAAACCATTCACTGACACACAAAATTTTCAAAAACTCAAAAATATCAGAAACATATTCCTTTCAGTGCAGCATATTATTTTAAGTGTAACTATGATGATACCTTATCTTTTTACAAATCGTACAGAGGTGAAGATTGCATGGTTTGGTTTGAAAATCAGTTGGACGAATTAGCAAAGTTTATTCAATCGAAAAATAAAAATATCATTCCAATCGTTGTGAATCCGTCTATGGATAGAACTTGTTGCCATATCTGTGAAAATAGTTTCAAATCTACGGATAAAATCGTAGTTGATCATGATCATTATACCGGGGAACAGAGAGGCTTTGCGCATGAGCAGTGTAACCTCAATTTTAAAAAGAGCTATTCCATACCGGTGGTGTTCCATAACCTTTCAGGGTATGATAGTCACTTTATAATACCCCATTTAGCGAAGCATAACAAAGTAACGTGTTTACCAGTTAACAAGGAAAAATATATAAGCTTTACTCAATTCCATGATGAAACTGATATAAAATTTCGGTTTATAGATTCGTTTCGATTTTTAGGGGCATCTTTAGATGAATTATCATCAACGCTTACTGCGGATAAATTTCAGAATTTAAAAAAGGAATTTAGTAATTTTGATGATGATGATGATGATTCTTTGAAGCTTGTTATGCGTAAGGGTGTATTTTGTTATGATTATATAGATTCGTATGAGAAATTGAAAGAAACTACTCTTCCTGATATTAAAGCATTTCACAATAAACTAAATGATTGTGATATTTCAGATGATGATTATGCACATGCGCAAAAAGTGTTCACTCATTTTAAGCTTAAGGATATTGGTGAATATTCTGATTTATATTTAAAGACTGATATAATGCTGTTAACTGATGTTTTTGAAAATTTTCGACATAAAGCTCATGATACATACGGATTAGACCCAGCTTGGTATTACACAATGCCAGGATTTACATGGAATTGTATGTTAAAATATACTAAGTGTCAATTGAGTACCATTCAAGATGTCGAAATACTTTTATTCTTAGAGGAGGGCATTCGTGGAGGTGTTAGTCAATGTGCCAATAGATATGCTGAAGCTAATAATAAATACCTTCAGAATTATGACCCAAAGAAACCCTCATCTTATCTGCTTTATCTGGACGTCAATGCGTTGTACGCTAGTGCCATGAAGGAGTATCTACCCTATGACGGTTTTGAGTGGACAGATGCTAATATTGACGTTACCTCCATTCCTGATGATTCGCCTGAAGGTTATATATTAGAGGTCGATTTGAAATATCCTCAACATCTCCATGATATGCATAAAGATCATCCCTTATGTCCTGGGCATCGTGTTCCACCAGGGTCGAAGCTACCAAAATTAATGACAACACTGTATGATAAAAACAAATACATTATAATCGTAATTTAAAGCAAGCTATAAAATTTGGACTTCAGCTAACTAAAATTCATCGCGTGTTGAAATTCAAACAAAGCGCTTGGCTTAAGTCTTATATTGAGTTGAACACTATGTTGCGGACTGTTGCAACATCAAAGTTTGAGCAGAACTTGTACAAATTAATGACTAATGCCACGTTTGGAAAAACTTTGGAAAATTTGCGCAAACATCGTATAGTAAAGTTGGTTTCTAGCTGGGCGGGCCGTTATGGTGCAAAAAATTTAATATCAAATCCTGCATTTCATAGTCGTGCAATTTTTGATGATTTCATGGCTATTGAAATGAATAAAACTAATATTGTATTCAATAGACCCATATATGTTGGTGTAGCTATTTTAGAAATTTCCAAAACTTACATGTATGAGTTTCACTATGGTTATATGCTACAAAAATTCAACAGTAATGATTGTAAGATTCTCTATACTGATACTGATTCGTATTGCTATCACATACATTGTGATGATGTTTATCAGGAAATGATTAAAAAAGATATCGAAAAATTTGACACAAGTGACTATCCTACGGAAAATATTTATGGAATACCGTTGGTCAATAAGAAAGTTCCTGGTTTGATGAAAGACGAAACAAAAGGTCGTTTAATGACACATTTCGTTGGATTAAGATCGAAAATGTATTTAATTGAAGGAACCACATGCACTAAAAGGTCAAAAGGTGTCAAATACAATGTAGTTAAAAATCAAATTTTTTTTCATGACTACGTCGACTGCTTGAACGAAAATAAAGAAAAAGTCGCCAATCAAAGTATCATCAGATCATTTGCACATAACGTTTACAGTGTAGAGCAAACTAAAATTGCATTGAACCCATTTGATGATAAGCGCTATTTGATTAATAATTCAACTGATACCCTACCATGGGGTCATTATTCTATAATTGAAACCTAAAGTTTTGTTTTTGTTTTTCACAGGTGTTTCAACCAAAACGCTTATTTGACGCTGCTCTAGAATGTGTTGCCGCTGTCAATTGCATTACTGGGTTATTCACGGGTGAATATCATGAACGTATATGTGAGTCATCTGTAATATTGTTGAAAAAAATTCTACCTACAAGTCTATATAAAATATCTATTTAAAACTTTAGAATATACAGAAAATTGGGAACGCGTTTTTGATGATTTATTCCATTAAAATCATACCTTTATACCGTACTCCATTTATGATATAACTGCCCATGTATTGAATCAATGTACCTACTATATAGATAATTTTTAATACATGTGAAATTATAAGTTCGTTGTTTCATTTGTGTGTGAGCGTGTGTGTGTGTATGTGTAATCAATCAATACTTTATCAATATTCAAATATAAACATTCTCTGAGACAATACGCTTGAATAGAATTTGATGATATGCCACAAAAAGACCTTAGTACATCTATAGGAGCTAAAATACGCTTACTGTTTTTAAGCCACATATAGTATCTAGAACATTATGATAATAGTTTAAAAAATTGATAGCACTTAACATTTCAATTCTAAAACTAACAATCGAGTCGATTCTCACTAATTCGTGCACTTCTTGTTGTGTAAAGTAAAAAGTACCATGACCGTTGGACACTGTAACAAACTTGATTCCATCACATACAAGTCCAGAGATTTCAATATTTTCACTACAGGTAAGTTTTGATGTCGGTGCTGCTGTTGCTGCCTCCAACGTTTCAAACCTGAACCGTTTTAAGTGATTCACGAAAATCGGCCATTCAAAGGTGCTAAATGATATGTGAACATTTCCAGTATCGTCAGGTTTGTATTCAATTTTCACGGAGGTTCAAAGTTTCTTGCAGAACTCGGACCGCAGTGGAGTTGATATAGTTGTCCACATTTCAGTGTCGTATTACAAATGTAGTAACGTTCCATCTGAATTGCATTTTCGTACATTCTTAACACAAGGTCTAATTCAGCACCATAAAATGTTTCTTCTTCTTCTTGGTATAGACGTGGCGGCGGCTCAGACATGGTACACTCAAACGTCTTCACTCAACTATTATACATTTTTCCAATTGTATTCTATTATAGACTGGTGATAGTGGTGATGGTGGTGGGGGGAAGATGGTGGGGGAATATTATAATCGATTTTTTGAATCAATCCAGCTATTATGTGTTGCATCAAAACTAAGCCATTTTACATATACCTTATTTCCCTTTCGTTTTAAAACTTTCTCAACCAAATATACGTCTGGGTTTTTCGCTTTTTGTAATTCTTCCGTATAGAAACAGCCCATAATTGGATTACCATCCAAATCATTCAATAAATATGTAACTGGATTGGTTATTTGTACTTTTGCAACTTTAAATAGCTCAGTTGTCCAGTTAGGTGTGTATCCTTTTTCAAATACATGTTTAGCTTTGCTTATTCTCATTAAATCACCAACTTTAAATTTACGCAGGTCAGTAGCTATTTTTATATGGTCAAAAGCTGAAATTTTCGAATTCTTTTTAACATCGACTGGCTTCATTCTAATAGTATGATGTTTTTGGTTGTTATAAGCCTTAACGATATATGGTAAAATGTCTATCCATCATACCCTACTGAGCGATGGCCGTGGCAAATGCTTGTTCCGGAAGTTGTTGTATCCAGTATACAACTTCTTCCCGTCCAAGTGATTGTGCACGCGTTAAGGATTACCTCAGTACCGATTGCCGGGTGGCGGTACAAGTCCGCCAACGGGCCACTTTAGGTCTATTTAACATCACTAACATGTAAAAAGAAGGTGGTAGACAAGGACTAGTCGACCGAGGCAGTACCACCCGCTAGCTTTTCCCAGGGTGTCTTATAAATGTCCGCATCCTAAGCTATGCAGTCGGTTATCTACCAAAACAAAGAAATTAATGATGATGGATCCCTCGAGCACTAAGAACTCAGGACGTAAACTCACTCCACTCTCGGAATGTCCGGGTGGAGGGTGGGCTCGAGGGAACAACATCGAAGATAAAATTTGTTTTTCGAACATCTGCGGGATCAACAGCAACATTGATGCTGTTCATCACTACCTGCAATCCAATCGTCCCGCCGTGCTTTTCTTGGCGGAGACAAAAATCTCAGAGACTGCACCGATTAACCATCTCAACTTCCCAAACTACGAGGTGCACTCCAATCTGAGAAAGAACGGGGGAGTTGTGGCTTTTGTCCGCAGCAGTCTTTCCTGCTCCAGGGATCTTTCTTTGAAATCAGACTGGAAGGACATTCTGTGGCTTCGCCTCAACTCCAAAACATCACCCAAATTTATTTGCTGCCTTTATCGCTCTCCCTCGAACCATAACTGGGATGACCTACTCGAATACCTCGCCGTCCAGATCGACTTCCTGAACATCAATCACCCCGCTTCAGAGGTAGTTCTTCTCGATGATTTCAATGCCCATGAGCTTTGGTTGGGCTCAAATAAGACCGATGCAGCAGGTCGTGCAGTCGAAGGGTTCGCTCTTACTCAAGGGCTGACCCAACTGGTGACGAGCCCTACTTTTTTCCCCCGCGTCTCGTCACACGCCAGTAGCCTGCTGGATCTCTTTCTGACCACGCATCCTGCCCCTTACAGCACTGCTGTCCTGTCCCCCCTGGGTAACTCAGATCACGGTGTTGTGGAGGTTAGGTTTCGGTCAGAAGCCGCTGTGGCAGCAGAAACTCGCACAGGCCGCAAAACTTGGCATTACGGACATGCCGACTGGGAGGGGCTCAGAGACTTCTTCACTAGCTTTCCTTGGAGAGATGTCTGTTTCACTGACGCGGATGCGTCGACTGTCTGTTCTTCAATAACCGAAATTATCCACGTCGGAATGGAGGAATACATCCCTCACACAGTGAAAGTTCCTAAACCAGGGTCCAACGGCTGGTTCAACAAATCGTGTGACACTGCTCGCCAGCAGAAGATCAAGGCCCACAGAACCTACTTACAAAACCCCACTGTAGAGAACAGACAATCCGACGTCGAGTCCAGAAACAAATATAACGAAGCGGTTCGCAATGCAAAAAACCAGCATGATATAAAAGTTAGGCACAGGGTAATGTCGGAGCGCAATGGCAGTCGGTCTTTCTGGACGCTGGCCAAGCAGATTGAAAAGAACTTCTCACACAGTAGCCTTCCACCACTTACGTGTCAGGATGGAACTATTGTATTCGACTCAAAGGCCAAGGTGGAAGTGCTAGCCAAGATCTTTGCTGCCAACTCCACCATGGACGTCCCCACCAACGCCCAAGTGCCGTCAATTCAAAGGGTTCCCCACACTATGCGGGAGGTAACATTCAGGCATAAGACCGTAAGACGAGTGCTCTTGTCGCTCGACATCAACAAAGCTTCTGGTCCGGACTTGATTCCTGCCATTGTACTGAAGAGATGTGCAGCGGAGCTTGCTCCAGTTCTTTCGCATCTCTTCCAGATATCTTATGAATCCGGCACCTTCCCAGAAAACTGGAAATTTGCTCATGTACAGCCCATCCCAAAAAAAGGATCTAAGACCGACCCTTACAACTACAGGCCTATAGCTCTGCTTTCTGTTATAAGTAAAGTGATGGAGAGGTGCATAAATCGCGAGCTTCTGGACTACCTCGAACGTCACAGCTTGATTAGCGACAGGCAGTACGGTTTCCGGCACCAACGATCCACAGGGGACCTCCTAGCTTACGTCACGCAACTGTGGAGTACACTCATCCAGTCTCATGGTGAGGCTCATGTCGTTGCTCTTGACATCACGAAAGCGTTCGATCAGCTGTGGCACGCTGCCCTCTTAAGCAAACTTCCATCCTACGGCCTCCCAGAAAAGCTTTGCAGATGGGTGGCTGACTTTATCTCTGGCTGCAAGATATCCGTCGTAATTGACGGATTCTCCTCTTCATCCCACAACGTCAACGCGGGTGTTCCCCAGGGATCGGTCTTGGCTCCAACACTGTTTCTCTTACATATCAACGACCGCCTTTCCTGCACGATCAACCCAATCCACAGCTTCGCTGATGACAGCACTCTACATGCAGGAATTCAGAGTGACAAGCCGATCTCTGCCGCTGAGCTGGAAAAAAGAAGACTAGCGACGACTTCTTCTCTGACAAGAGACCTGGAGGCTATCACTGCTTGGGGACGCAACAATCTTGTACAGTTCAATGCTTCCAAAACACAGTACTGTACTTTGACGAACAAAAAGCGTCCTAGCGCTCATACAGGACGGTCGAGTTCTACCAAAGAGCCATTCATTTCGGCTGGTCGGAGTCCAGATCACCGAGGACCTGATCTGGCACGAACACATCTCTTCAATAGCTGCAGCTGCTGGGAAAAAGCTAGGCTATTTGTTTAGGGCTAAGAAGTACTTTTCTCCGCATGACTTTCTCACTCTATACAAGGCCCAGATAAGGCCTAGCCTCGAGTATTGCTCACACATTTGGGGTGCTGCCACCCCGACTACATTGTCCACGCTCGATGCTGTCCAGAGGAGGGCGGTCCGACTGATCGATGACTCTTCACTAACAGACAGTCTCGGGACTCTTTCGCACCGGCTGGTCGTCGGCGATCTAGCTCTTTTCTATCGCTACACCAACGGGCTTTGCTCCTCAGAGCTCTCTCCCATGCTGCCGCCGCGCGATGTGCCTGCCAGACAGACCCGCCGGACTTCGGCGTCCCATCCTAACCGTGTCAAAACTTCGTACATCCAGAACTGGCCGATACGACCGCTCCTTTGTCCCGAGGGTGTCTAGATTGTGGAACAATCTACGGGCGGAAGCTTTTCCCAGTTCTACCAGCCTTAGGCAGTTCAAAAATCGTATTAACAAAATTTGTTTGGGATCATCATAGCAGCCGCGGTGTTCCGGCATTTAGGCTTCTGCCTGCGCGGCTGTTTCGAAATAAAAAAAAATAATAGGTACCATTCAAACTGAAATATTTAAACAACTTTTCTTTCAATGTTCTCACTACACGTTCAGCCATAGCAGCTTTGATATGAGTAAATGTACTATAGTGATTTATATTGTGAGTTTTCATCAAATGCTTAAAATGTACAGTAGTATTCTTTCCCCTGATCTGTCTGTAAGTTTTTCGGCGTCGGACTTATAGCTTTAAGTATATCAGCAAAAGCTTTGGTGACTTCTTCACCAGATTTTGTTTTCAGCGGTCTGCACCATAGAAATTTTGAGTAGCAATTTGCGGTCTGCACCATAGAAATTTTGAGTAGCAATTTATGACTACTAGGATAAACTTGAAATTCTTATTATATTTAGCATATGATCAAGTTGACATAAATCGGATAGATATAAATCATTTAAGCCTAGAACGATGGTCCGACGTCTTTTGAAATTCCTTCTTAGCGGTTTGCGTAATTCTTTCACGAGCTGTACTTTTTCTGCACTATGCTTCATGGTTAAAAAGTAACTGTTTATTATATCGCTATAACTTTAATTACCTCTTTATGGTATTTGGGGAGGAGGGGGGGTTTTCTAAGAAATTCATAATTCCATCTTCGATTGATTTGAATTTAAGATCAAATTCCCTCCGTACCTTGTTTGCTTCGTCACCGATAACGATTTTCATATCTGAGCTTAACTTTTCCATCATTTTATTTAAGTCATTGATATATATAAGCTGCTTCGGATTAATGTTGTTGTTGTTGTTCATTTTTTCTACTGTATCACTAAAAGTTCTTTGGTTTTGATTCAAGATATTTAATTGTTTATCTAAATCAGCAAGACTTCGGCCTTGTTTATTTAAAATTTTATCGTGACTAATTTGCTTAAGTTCCTGTTCAGTAATGACACTTTTTAAAATATCAATTTGATCTTTTAGCGCTTTTGATGTCTCAATATTATTTTGGTTATCAATTTTACGTCTTTTGTTCTCTCCGATAAGCGCATTATCTACATAACGCTTACAAGATCCCATTTCTTCATCTACATATTTGATCACTTTGATACGCGCATTATCTACATAACTGTTACAAGATCTAATTTCTCCATCTACATATTGTTTATTTACTATATCTTTTCCATTTATTGGCACTATAGAACTACAAAGTTTCAAATTTTCAAAGCTGACTTCTCCTTCTGCATTTACTTCGAAAGGTAACTGTGGTTGTTGTCGACGTTGTATGGAATGATGTACACCACCAACAACATACTGACCAAACTTGTTGATGCTCATCGTGATACTGTCATCGGATATATCTATACATGCTCCTTTATAATACCAGCTTCTTTCAGTTCATTTATAATGGCAACAATTTCATTATTATGCGATGTATTACCAGCGCTTTGCGAAGCAATTAATAATTTTAATCTATCTACAAGTTCATTAACATCATCCCAATATACATACTCTATGGGTTTGTCATTATAAGTCAAATACATTCCTTGTCCGGTATACTGTGACGACGACGACGATAACGACCGAGCTTTTTGAGACCCTATTGTTGTGCATAATGGTTTAATTATATTAATATATTTGAACATAGTAGATCCTTTTAAACGTTGACGGCTATCTTTGTGTACATTAGATATATTTAAAATCTTTTTGTAGTCTGATAAATCATTTTGATCATATTTAGGGTTTTTGTAGAAAATTAGACTATAAAGTCCTTGTGTTCCACGAAATCGGTTACCATCTATAATTATATCACCCGTATGTGTAGCAAAATTCATATGTTTACTTCCGATACGCCACTGAGATGCTACAGAATCATAAGTTGGTCCATATACTAGATCAATTGTATTAGATTTACTCCAAAACTTCTGCACTGGCTCCCGAGCTATTTCTGGATACTGTGACATAAAGGGTGTATCTCCAGGTTCGAAAAACGTATCATCATCATCACCATCATCATCAGCCATCTTAATTTCCTCTTCTTCTTCTTTATCACTCGTTTCTTCCGTTTTTATACTCAAATCATCGTTTTTCTTGTTTGCTATTTGCCGAAGCGGTTCGGTTATTGGTCGAAAGAGTTTCTTAATATTTTCATCCTCGTCAGACTCGTCAGACCAATTTTCAAACCTAAATACTTTCGTCTAACATCTCTAGACAGTTGTTGAATTTTTCTCTGCAAGAGACTACTGTGCTTTGCGTTCTTCATCTCATGCAAAACTGATGTTCAGAGACAGATATCATACGCATATATACTTATCGAAACCCTTACGATATCGTCCATGTTTCAAATCAAAATCTTTAACTATCGTTATATTACCATATTTTTCACGCCAGCATCGCGAACACATTTCCTTAAATTGTTCAAAGGTAAGATCCGGTGAAACATGTTCATGAAATGCATACCGTAAATTCTTGTCATCCTGTTTGAAAAGAGCTATAACATTACAGTTATCACGTATAAGCTGTTCCGGTATTTTAGAATACGTTTGACATAGGTACATAACATCCACGGATTTACATGTATGTCTACCCATTGAAAAATATTCCCTACATTTTTGCTGTTTTTGGCATGCCAGATCATCAAAAATAAATATAGAGTTATTCGGTGCTTCTAATGGATCGATAATTTCTTCGTTATCTTTATATGGGAAATATTTAACGCATTTTGTCTTCGCTAAAACGTTCTGTAGTAAAGTATATTTGGGCTGTAGCAATGTTTTAGAGTAGACAAAGACATTTTGAAAACGTGCACCGTTACGATTGAACAGCAAACTCAATGCTGCGTTTGTTTTGCCACATCCACTAGGTCCACAAAATATGGCTCTGAATGAATTCGGTAATAATTTTCCATGTTTGCTCGGAAGGTTGTTATCTTCAGCAAAATCTAAATTTTCGATAGGTAGTGCAGTTGCTTGTTGCTGAATACGCATTTCGATATTGACTGACACACTTAAAGGTGATGCAGATCATTATAAATATAATCACAAAATGTGCGTGTGCTCATTATTATGTTAGCATCCAAGCGAGGAGGAGAAGGTGTTCTGAACTCGCTAATCGATCGGCTTCCCATTGAGCTTCATCTACCTAAGTACCAATATTGCGGTCCTGGAACTCATCTGCAAAAACGCATTAGACGAGGTGATCCTGGAATCAACGGTTTAGACGCTGCTTGCAAACAACACGATATAGCTTATTCAAAATCTTCATCTATAACCGATCGTCATAAAGCTGATGAAATTTTGGAACAACAGGCTTGGAATAGAGTAAGGTCGAAAGACGCAAATTTTGGTGAAAAAGCTGCTTCGTGGTTTGTTACTAACGCAATGAAGGTGAAACGTAAACTTGGGATGGGCATGAAACCGGCTTCATTTAGAAGAGATGTTGTTAAAAAAATTTCCAGACATTTAAAGAAACACAACCCATCAGCGGCGGCGGCGGATTTGGCTAACAAAAAAGAGCTAATCAAGTCGTCCACGATAGCATTGAGAGCCGCACAGGTGGCAATAAAGAAAGCTGGAGGACGGAAAAATATTCGAGTTCCGCGAGTGATACCGTTTGAAGCAAAAAGTGGAGGATTTTTGCCGCTGTTGCCGTTGTTTGCAGGACTCAGCGCCTTGGGGAGTATTGCGGGGGGTGCTAGTGCAGTCACCAAAACTGTAATCGACTCTAGAAATGCTAAACGAAAGCTTGAGGAAGATCAACGACATAACAAAGCTATGGAAGAAATTGGAAAACAAGGATCCGGTCTGTTCTTACGCAAAAATGCTCGAGGCGGTCTCGGTTTATTTTTAAAAAAGCAACAACATCCAAAAAACTACCAATAAAGCTACCCGATAGAGCTCTATACGATGTGGACTTACGGAAATTTGTCAAAAAGCTTAAAATAGCACATTTTCGCGGTGTATTTATGCGAGATACTATACCTAAAGGTGGTGCTAGAACAAACGAATGTGGTATAATTAATTTAGATGACAAAGGAACGCATTGGGTAGCATACAGAAAAAATGGTAATGTAGCTGAGTATTTTGATAGTTTTGGTAATCTTAAACCTCCACGTGAACTCGTTAAATATTTAAATGCCGTCTACAATAATGACTGTTATCAAAATTATGATCAAAGCATCTGCGGTCACCTTTGTTTGGAATTTCTCTATAAAACTAACTGACCCACCGTAGCCTCTCTCAGTCATGTCTCAGATATTCACCTTGAAGAGTCATACGTCAACGTTGTCCATTGATTTTGTGAATCCGATTAGATTAGAGGATGGGTTCGATTACGGTTTGAGTTTATTGTCTTTTTATTCCTATAATAGTGTACCTAACATTGACGAGGGGCACAATAAATTCTATTATTACGAGAACAACAACAAATATCGAGAAAAAAATATCGTCATTCCTACGGGTGCGTATGAAATAGAAGATATTGAATCCTATATTAAGAAACACATTGTTGACGGTGGTGGTGAGGGTGGTGATCGAGTGAAAGACGTTTTTTCCCTGAAACCTAATCTGAATACGCTCAAGTGTGGACGGTACAGTTCAGTGCATGGCATTAACTTTCAACCAAAGGATTCCATCGCATACGTTTTAGGATATTCTCCATCAAGAGTCTTGGAACCTAGGATTTATCACCAATCAGATCTTCCCGTTAAGATAGTTAAAGTTAGAACTATCCATATCGATAGCAATATTACTGTTGGAGCTTTCTACAACGATAGACCTTTACATACCATATACGAATTCTCTATTACAGACGAGGCTGGGTGTGCAATTAACGAAAGTTCTAAAAACTTGATTTATCTACCAGTGAATCAACGTGAAATAAATAACATTACTTTGGTGGTGCTCGATCAAAATTTTGAATTAGTGAACTTTAGAGGAGAAGAAATCATCATACGTTTGGAGTTGAAAAAATTATAATGGTTTTGGTGATTCCACCCCACCACCCCCTCAAAAAACACAAATATAAACCATATATTCCGGTTAATGCTCTATCAGTTGGTAGTGGTCATTCGAAGAGTGCTGACGTGCTGCTGCATTCCACACTTACTATAGCCAACCGATTATTTTTACAATCGCTCAATTACGATGTTGTCAAGTCAAGTGTTCGACGTTTACGAAAAACCGATATTTTGATGATACAATCCAAGGCGTTAAAGAGTTCACATATAGACCGTATATTCCGTCTTTTCTCAATAACGATGAAATCACCATTACTATTAATCAGAGTGATGCATGGCTTTTGATGTATGATGCCGCTATTGTAATTAAGGGGAAATTAAAAAGAACTGCTGGCGCTGGAACAGTTTCCTTTGTGAACAATGCCTTAGCGTTTTTCCTCGACTCTTGTACATACGAACTTAATGGATCCATATTGGACACCGTTCGAAATCCGGGTATTGTAAGCACCGTTCGAGGATACTTATGTTACAGTATTAACGATTCAAGACATTTAGCCACAACAGGATGGAACTATCCTTCTTTATCTATTCTTGATGCTACCACAGGCTATTTTAGCCTAAGAGTTCCACTTAAACACTTACTGAATTATTTTAATGACTATAAATTTGCTGCATATGGGAAACATACTATACGTCTCGTGAGAGCACGTAATGATAATAACTGTATGCTTATTGCTGAAGATGCTGGCGCAGCCGCCGCCGGTACTACACAAGCCAAACTTGAAATTGATGAGATCAAACTGCTAGTAAAACATATTTACCCCAATGATGTGATTAAAATGAATCTACTAGAAAAGATTAACAAGGATAAGCTGGTGTATGCACCATACAGAAAGTGGTCTTTACACGAACTTCCAGCTCTAACAGTTAATGCTAAACGTGAAATATGGCAGATACAAACGTGTGCTGCTATAGAGTGTCCACGATATGTAATAGCGGCTTTTCAAACAGATAAATTCGATAAAGTTAATCAGGATCCAACTTTATTTGATCATATTGATGTAACAGACGTTCGACTGCTCATAAATGGGGAATACTATCCCCATGAGCGTTTGAGATTTGACTTTGATAAAAACGATTATGTGGACGCTCACATGAATTATATAGATTTTTATCCGAGTTATAAAAATACCTCATTCAAGCCTGCACTACTTGACTATTCATCATTTAAAAATCGTGTCATTTTTGTTATTGACTGCTCTAAACGTAGCGAATCAATGAAATCGACAACAGTAGATGTGAAATTAGACATTGAATCGGCAAAAGGGTTCCCCACCAATACACGTGTTTACTGTATTATTATTCATGATTGTGTAATGGAACTGCATCCCCTCTCCGAAATAATTAAACAATATATGTAAAATCATCCTTTTGATTCGATCATTTACTTGTAGTTAATCGAATAGAACCAACAATGGCTACAATGTGCTTTGTTGATCTGCAAGGATTTTATCTTCACAATCATGGTTTTGTGGTTAAAGAAATGTCGATACTGGTTAGAAGTCAAAGCAATTATTTCTTATTCAGATCTGAACTATACTGAACGGTACCATGGACTCAGATATGAGAAGGGCTACGTGGATTATAGTTTACTTAATGAAATCCTCAGCAGTCATTTAGCTGATGTGGATATGGTATACGTAAAAGGACAATGCAAACGTCAATTTTTAATCGATAGATTAAATGATATGCAAATTATTAAACCCAATATTATCAATGTTGAAGATTGTGATTCGCGTTTAACCACCACCACCACAAAGTGTGAGAAAATAGAGAAATGTATACCACTGTCTTTGAATCATGATGGCGTATATGGTATATGTGCTCTGAATAACTGTCTCAAAATCAAAGAATGGGTATATAAATGTCTACCTATGTAATTCACTCATACATTCAAACATGCAGCAGCAGCAGCAAGAGCTTCTGAGACATCACATTGAAAATATTCGAGTAATTAAACAGCAAATTCGTCAATATGAAGATACAAAGCATACACTTGAAAAACTACAACGGTTATCCATTCAAGATGACGATGACGACGACGACGAGGCTAAATGGACACGAAATGTGTTTCACAATTATGAAAGATTTCAACGTTTAAATTGTAAATTATCACGAAGAATACATTTAATTAATGAATTGTAATTACATATATCAATAAAAATGTATTAGGCTTATCTTGGTGTTTTTTTATATAATGTAATGATTACCTTCCTAAACGTTAGTTATCGTTAATCATGGTTGCATTAACACCTAATTATATTGTACTATGTGCTTTGGTGAACGGTGTTTTTTACGTTCAGCATCCATTAAGAGTGGAGGAAATATTCATTTGTTTTAATGAAAATAATACCAAAAACGAAAGTTGGCCTTCAAGATGGCAGCGCATGTCTGCTACTATGCTCAACAATAATATTGAAGCATTTGAAGTTACAGTGCCAGAACATGTTACCGAATATAAATTACGATTCGTACTTCAGGAACACAACTACAACGATACTGCGTGGAACTATTTTCCATCCCCACCACCACCACTAAATGAGACGCCTAAAGAATATATAGATAAGCTGCCAGCATATATGGTTTATTACATAGCTGTTTGTATATCGCTGCTGATCATCAAACTTCTAGTTTGTTTATACCTTCCGAGCAGAAGAAATAACATTTGTTGTTGTTCTTCGTAAACAGCTGGACGATCTTCGTTATGCCACCAAATACTCGTATTGGCGATTATCATTTCAAACGAATATTTATTAAGCATGCGTGTGCAACTATGGGTATAAATATTCCATCAACATTATTAGATGAGCTACTAGAACCCTGCTGGGATGATCATACTCCGGCAAACGGCAACTGTTGTGACGTCATTGATGGTCCATACAAGTCGCATAAACTAGATTGTGATACATGTATGAAGTCTTATATTAAATAATTTATAACTGTGCTTTTTCTTTTATTCACCTTTTCTCGTTTATGTCACATACGTTACGTGTCACGTATGCCACATACGTCACGTACGTCACTTGTCATGGACGTTAGGCGTAACGTACGTCACGTATGTCACGTACGTCACTTGTCATGGACGTTAGGTGTCACGTACGTCACTTGTCACGGACGTCACGTGCATGGTAGGACTAATGGTGAGCAATATTTGTTTGGGAGACAATTGTAATCAAATCACCGTTTTGTTGATTGGAAAATATGTTGTAAAGTGTATTGACGTAATTCTGTAGGAATATAATCGACAAGAAGATCAGGCTGAGATGGGATAATCATTTCGTTCAAGTCTAGTTTCCATATAAACATATCATGCGCAATATATATATATATATATATATATACTATATATATATAATCGGTAATTTGAAAACTCTGGAGCAATGGCTAGAAACATAAAATCTGTAGAAGACGGGTCACTTTGGACGCCCCCACCACCACTTCCACTTTGGCCACGCCCACCGCGTGCTCTGATTGGCGGATCAGACGGCGGGAAATTTGAACGGGGTTGATGGTATATGTTGATTGGCGGGAACCGCTAGATCCACCGCGTGCTCTGATTGGCGGATCAGACGGTGGGAAATTTTAACGAGGTTGATGGTATATGTTGATTGGCGGGCCCCCCGCTAGATGGCACAGTGATTCACACACACACACACACACACACACACACACACACACACACACCACACACGCGCGCACACACGCGCACACACACCCACACACACACACACACACACACCGCCATCTTTTTTTTTAACGCTACCAACCTTTTGACTCACCCTGTATACAACCTTCTTGACTCTCGCTGTATACACTACACCTCACCTTATCGTCGGCCACACATCCGCATGGGAACGTCGTCCATACACCGCCATCTTTTTTTTTTTAACGCTCCCAACCTTTTGACTCACCCTGTATACAACCTTCTTGACTCTCCCTGTATACACTACACCTCACCTTATCGGACACACATCCGCATGGGAACGTCGTCGCGCTGATAACGCGAACCTGCAACCGTCCATCGGCTGTTTTATCTCACTTACGCTGTGGAACTCTCTTAGCTCTACTACTCAACCCATTGAATAAGAACTCATCTGATTCTGTTACTCTGAGACTAGGGTCTGATGATTGAGATACGTAACTATACGAAGGTTCAAAATAAACGCAACAAGCAACATTTTGTTCAACTTTGGAACTTTTTCAGCAAGCGGTAGGTACACTCACTGGCATTAATGTGTAGATATGAGTTCTTTATTTTAGTCACGGTTTGACTTGTTGTACAGGGTAAATTAAAATGATGTTTCATATTTCTATCTTTGAGTCGCTCTGTGGTGTGAATCCAGTTGCCAGTCAGACCGCAATGCTTTTTATTATCAAGAACCATATTTTTTATATAATCTGGTTTTTTACTCACGTCAATGTATACAGAGGTATCGTCGAAAATATAACTTAGCACGAATACGTCTTCTCAATAGAAGCAGCAGCTGGGAAAAAACCTGAGATATTCGTTTATGTCTTTCCATCTTGAAATATCTAGGCGTGCAGTATCTGGGATGTTACCGCTCTGACTACACAGTCCAGACTCAACTCTGGACAGTCAGTTAAATAAAAGCTTGTCAAATCCCACAAACGCGAACAGATCTATCCTCCACAGACTGAAATATAAAACGATTTCTACCTACAAAAAATAATTGAGCTTTGTTTCTAGTTTACAGGTCTCGTACCAAGTTAGGATTTTTTCAATTTTTATATGGACAAAAAACTTGAGCCCCTTAAAAACCGGGGAAATACCCTCTTGGCATATTATTCTCGGAATCCTACGAACAAAGGAGCAGTCGCAACGGCTAATCCTCGGGACAATTATGAATATTATAAAAACTATGACATGATGTTTTATTACACATATATCAAAGAAAATTACTTATTTGAAAATCTCTCCACGTGTATGATGCCAGTATCTTCTTGATATTCATACTATCAAAACGCGTGGTCCGGTAGAAATCTATAGTTTTGAAATTATCAGACTCAGCAAGTGATAACTGCACAGTGCACGTGTATAACGATTCGACATTAGTATTAGAAATAGAATTATTTTAATACATCACGCATTATTTTTTGACTACTGACCTCATTCTCCTTCAAAGCATTGAGCTACGAGCCTACCCTTAGTCCTACAATAAAATAAAATGTCCTGTATCAATTTGGCGGCTTCGCCAATGTAAGTTAAGTACGAAGAAAATTAAAGATTTACTTTGTTAAAGTATACTTTTGAGGACTCTAGACTTGCCTGTATATTTTGTCCGTGTACATCTAAAATCGTATTGCATTCCATCCAGAATTTTTCCGCATCTCTTATGTTTGAAGAACTAGTTGCCGACTAAGAAGATGAGTCAGAATGTTTATTGCACTTTCTTTCGTTGGTTTTAAATAACGAACTCAAAAGCGAGCATTTAATAATAAAACGTATTTATTGGGCGAAGTTCAGCATAAGCTAATCTACCACTTAACCCGTAAAATGTCTATACACAACATATATAATAAAAACAATTTATACCACTAAAAATGCAGAAGTTTCAAGATAAAAATTAATTGAGTAACATAAATCAAGATTAGATAAAAGTATAGCATTATAGATACTTATAGAATGACATTAATGTATAAGCAGAAGTGAGTCAATGATTGCTCGAAAATTATTTTTATTTAAATAATTTTTGAAATTCTCGAAATTTAAAGCTTTAGTATAAGATGGTAAATCATTGTACATGACAGTAGCATTATAAGTAAAACATCTGGTAAAAAAAGTAGTTCTGGAAGGAGGCATTTTAATTTATCTTTCAAAAATGGGGGAATTAAGGTAAGTAAAAGCTAATAAATATAATATAGTAACTGAAATTCAAATACATTAGGAATAGATAACCATTCCAATTTTATGAACGAGGAGGTAAGGTGGTCATATTTTTTCATGTTACAGATTAATCTGCAACATGAATTTTAAATTTTTTACAAGCGCTTGACAGATACATTTAAAAAATGCACCTTCAAATATATTTTCCTTTACATTATAAACAGATTGTGAAAACGTTAGACAGCGTAATTGAGATTGAATTCAATTCGAAAATAGGACTAATGTCAACAATTCTATTAATAACCAAACTGACGCTGACGACGTTGGAGAGTACTGTTACCATGGTTATTCATATATTTAGAGATGGTATTTTTCTTGTTAATATTTTACAGGGCAGATCAGATTCTTTTTTTTTTTGCTAATGGTACCTGTATCGAAACCGAGATTGAAGAATGAACGTGCTGAGAAAGTCACACCGATATCAGTTAACGAAGCTTATGAACCAGTCGAACGATCGGTCAAACGCTAAATATACAACCCAGATATAGGGCATGGGAAATAATACAAATGGTATATCTTGTCTAAAATTTTACCGAACGATCTATTGACGGGGGACTTCGCTGCTGAAAGAGCCAGTGTGGAGATAGTCAGGATCAAGTCCGTGAACGAGGTATTGGTGCAGTTGAATAGGGACATAAGCAGCGGAACGGCAAATGAAGATGACCGAGGGAAATTGAATACCACGACTAGGTGGTGAGACCATCGCTCGCCAGGAATATGGAATGCGGGCTAGGAATGGTAACTGAGTTAGAAAACCTTTACCAGGTAGCCCAAGTAGGAACGTTTATGCTGAGGATCTAGGAAGTCACCTCCACTCAGGAAGCTATCCACGTAAAATGTCAGTGAGATTACCAAAATTAGGATCACTATAATTTAATGGAGACCGTAATGCTTGGCATGGCTTTTGGGAACAATTCAGCAGTGCTATTCATGATAATAATGAACTTGACGATTCTACTAGGTTTATGTATTTGAAATCATTCTCAACGGACAATAGCTATGCAAAGCTAACATCAAATGGTTCAAGTAACTACGATGCTAATGATATTTCAAAAGTCCAAAAAAGAAAAAATATATCAAAAATCAGTGTGCTTAACTATGGCCAGTCCTAGGTGAGCAAGACATATTTTATGTCACATCGTGCAGTATACAGAGATGATAAAGATACTACGAATATTAGAGTCGTATTTGATGCGTCTGCTCATACTCTAGGATTGCCGTCGTTAAAGGATACTTTAGGGGCGAACATTTGACACAATGCTCTGTTCAATTTCAGATTAGGCGCCATCACTTTGATTGCAAACAATGAGAAGGCACTTTTACAGATCGAAGCAAAAGAAGACGACAGGGACGTTCTTAGTCTCTCATGGTATGAACAGCCCATTAGAGATTTTACCGTATGAAACATGTAATGTTTAGCAGTTTGAGGAGACTTGTAACATCCTTATACAGTGTTTTTAAGTAGATAACTTCATTATTGCTGTTAATAATCTAGACGAGGTAAATTGAAAATTGCAAGAAGTCATGAGAAAAGATCGAAGCAGTAATTATGCAGACTTAAGGCAATTGATGGACTGTGCTGATTGAGAGAATAAGAAAGTATTGGGCATTGTACGGCACCTTAGAGAGGATGTATTGATGGTAAATTTGGATCCGACATTAGAGAAAAATCATCAAAAGTGCTAAGCGTTTAGTTTTACGCACCACTTCAAAGGTATTTGACCTTCTAGGATTTTTAAGACCACTTACTATCAGAGCAAAATTATTCTTCCAGTTCGGAAGGCAAAATTAAACTAGAATAAGATTTTTCCTGAAAAGCTAGTCAACGGCAATGTGAGATGCTTTTCTGGATCATCAGCACATTCAAAATTTTGACGAACTTTGTGCTGTATTGTTAAGTATTAATTTATACATCAAAAACGATCTTGTTGACAATTTTAGCGTCAGCTCATTTATTGCTGGCAAGTAACAAGTTGCTATTAGCTTATCGATTTCTTTTCATTCTTAGATGAGAAATCAAATTGTTTGGACGTGGTTGAACATAATCCAGGATGAAACCTGGCCAACCCATCCTGCCTGCATGTGTGGATTGGTGATGAGCGATTTAACTAGCAGCTTCTTTCTCCACCAATGTTCCTGCACCCCGGAGGGATATTGAAAATTTGGAAATAACCTACATCTAGGACTTAAATAATCGTCTATGGACAGAGATAGGAGTAGATGATCATATTAGCCTGCGTCATCAACAGAAGCGTCAAGTTACCGTCAGAACGAAGTGTCATTTTATCAGTCAGCAATTTTGCCATCATGCATTTCAAAACGTTTTTTTAATTAATGTAATCCCAATTTGAACATTTTCAGATTTAATACCTCGTTTGGCTTCAAGAGGATCCAGTGTTTCATTTAGGGTTTACAAGTTTCCATAGCCAAAAATTAGCCAACACATCCCAAACTTGCATAGTTTTCTTAACACTAGCTTTTTGAGAAATTGCCGCATACAGTGGCTTTTGAAAATTACCTGTTGCTGTCTAGCTCCTACTCCCTCTGGATACAGATGAAAATGGGAATGAAGGTATCCCCCACCCGTTCTGTGGTTTTTCAAAGTTATTACTGCACCATACGCTACATACTGAGGCATACTAGCATTATGAAGACTGTTGCCTGAAATGATATTTCATACAAGTTTTTATGTAACTTCACCTGTTAGTAGGTATGTTATCATGTCAGTGTGGGACAAATATGCAAGTGAATTTTGAACCAATTAACCTTAACCAATTATGCTAAAATGTTATATGACACGATTTATCTTTTCCATGCTAACCCCCTGTGATGTGGGTTTCAAATGAAAGCGGTTCATGAAGATGCAAAGTGGCGTCAGCCTTCAGCCGCAAGCTTTTATTTAGCCGTTAACACAAATAACTAAAAATCTAAAAATACTTGTTTCTGCTTGGAAATGCCGTTTTATATTTCTTAACGATAATAAAGCCTTGTCTTGTCAAGTTTTAAAGTAAAAGTGTGTCACATTTACATTTACAAGAGGGAAAAGTGTGCAACACTCTTATACTTCAAAACTTAAGACGAAGGAGCTTCATTATCGTTTAAAATTTAGGAAGTATAAAACGACCTATTTATATTCGGAAAAATATTTTTAAATCTTTAGTTCCTTTTATTAATGGCTAAATAAAAGTTTGTCTTCAAATATGTTTTATTTCTTTCATCTTTAATAAATCAGCAGCTCCTAAATCAGTACTCCCATTGTTCATAAAAGAATTCCGAACAATTTGTTCCTTTGAACGGACCAAATTAGCAAGCTAAAATTTGGGTTGGTGAAATCAGTGCATGATTACTATATTTGAACGTAAAAGTAACAGTCGAGTAATTTGAGATGGCAACTGGGCGTCATCTTGGGAGTTTTTTTAATGGAATGGGGATCATGTGACACTTATTTTGGAGCTCTTTATCAGTACTTTACAAGGCTAGAGTATAAATTCATCTGTCAAAATACCAAACTGACTGGCTATCAAAGTTAAGCGCTTTTTTATATTGAATCTCTTACAGTTCAAAAACTAAACATCAAAACGTCACAGTATATCAATCTTCTTCTAAATATTTTGATATTTTTTCAAAAAGACTGTATTTGAATTGTAATATACAAACAATATTTTCCAGTAGCATACTTGCGTCGGTTCATACTGAATACGTAAATATTTATAGGTGTACAAGATAAGAATCCTATGGATGAGGATCTCAATAATTGTGGGAGATACAGCTTAGGTTAAATGAGGAAAAAGTTGCGTTCTTTGGGGCGTATTTACATGCAGTTGGGATACTTGCAAACATTTCATGGCTCGGTCAGATATTTTGGAAAAACTAAAATTCGGTTAAATCATTTATAATTTTTTTCCAACTGCATTTTGAGAAATATCAAAAAACTGACGAAACTTTTCCATTTTTTAGGCACTACATTCGTAGATGCTATCAGATACAGGGTGTACTTTTTTCAGACCATACAAATATAAAAAAAGTTGATGACGGTTTCTTAAAAACGAAACGTCGGGCACAAAATTTCAAAACACTATCATGTTTGCCTAAAAAGTGTCAACGAAAAAGTTCCATTAGTTTTTTGACATTTCTTAAAATAAAGTCAGAAAAAATAAAAATGATTTGTTCAAACTTTTGTTTTTCCCAAATACCTCAGTTATGTTATGAAATTCTTACAAGTTTCTCAACGGCATTTAAATACGCACCAAAAAACCGAGAAGTAAATTTGTAATAAATCAGTCTGTGGATGTTGTTTTCAAATTTTGCCGATACCACTGCTGACATGATGATACCTGGGGGAAATGAGATTCCACCCTCGCTCAATGTCGTTTTAATCCATCCCGCTATTACGGTGCGGGATGTGGGTTTCACTTGCCCTCTTGTCATTGTGAATAAACTGGTGAGCCCTTCTTTGTCTTTACGGCGAGTGGAAATAATTGCGATCGCTCGATGAAACCAAAATACAGGATCTCGTTGTGTTTTGGAGCATCGTTTTTGGAGACATCTCGACTGATGATACAGACTCTTGACCGTCTTTGAGCCGAATTCTGGCCACAGAATAATAGTTTCATACTTTAGCTCCATGGAGGATCCATCTATCTTGAGCAGGTCATGGATCCTACAACCCGAAGCCATCAAGAGGACTGCAGCCAGATGACGCGATACATGAAATATGATATCTATCGATGCGAGGCTTTCCGATTTCGTAGGGTTGGCAAAACCCGACAGATTTGTAGAACTTGATCGTTGAGATGGTGAGGTGCTTGTCCCATGTAAAAATCCCAAATATTGCTTTAGTTGGTCTGGCGAAGGGTTTTGCGGTATAATATTGTTTCCAGAGCACCATTACTTCTGTTATGTGCATGTGAAGCGGTGACGCCTAGTGGAGCAGTGGCGCGTAGCGAATGAGCATTGGCATATAACATAGGCGGCCCCCTTGAAAGCCTCCAGGGTTTCAACTCGATGAAATCTTGCCGTTGTAAGGAACTGGACTCTCCGGTCGAAGTCTTCAAGGTTACAGCACGAGTGATGCGGTCTGATTCGGGATGCAGTTCAATTATTTTGCCGATCTGTCATTTAAGTAAAGGGTGTCCATCTTCCTTTACTAGCACCAGATTGCGAACCTTCAGAATTTGGGCGAAATTCTACTTCCACTTGATGTGATGCAGTAGATGTGAGTCATATTCTTCGGACCCCCTGGTCCAGACGTGCAGCGTCATTTTCATCAGGCGTTGGCAGCGAGGTAACAGGATTTCACGGACGTTCAACCAATTTCTGTCTGGTGCAGCCTTCAATGGTTCTCCGATGATGAAATGTGCAGGTGTGACAGGAGAAGGGTCTGAAGGATCGTCTGATAAAGGGTAGAAAGGGCAAGAAGTCACCCACGCTCTAATTAGGATCAATACCGTACAAAACTCTTCAAAAGTTAGTCGCGTTTCACCGATAGTCCGTTTTAAATGATGTTTTACCGTCCTGACCGCAGCTGTCCATCATAATGAGGTTATCTAGGTGACATGAATGTCCATTTGATACCATCAATAGCTAGTTTTCTGAAATTTCATTAGTTTGGCTAAGATGAATTGTCTTAGTTCCCGACTGGCATTCACAAAGGTAGTTCCGTAGACCATACGAGAAGAAACTCTTCTAAAAGCAGCGAGAAAACATTCAGTTGTGAGGTCAGTAACGACATCAATGTGAACTGTCTTAACTGCGGGACACACAAATATAGCATAGCAAGCCTTGGACAATTTGGAATTACGCGCCTTGCTAAGTTTGATAGTAAATGGTCCAGAAAACTCGATTCCTACAGACAGCGATGGTCGAGCAGGAGTGACCTGAGATTTTGGCAAATTAATCAAGTACTTTTCTTGATTAAGGCTGAAACGAAAACATGTCACACATTCACGAATAACTTTTCGGACAAACCTTTTGCGACCGATTGGCAAAAATTTCTCTGATAGATGCAAGAAGATCTTTGAATTATTCTTATAATGTATAGAGCATTATCTAGCTCGTCAGGTGTCAAAGGGTCAACTAGCTAACGCTTCTTTGACGAAGTCTTGAGTTTGAACCTGCATATGTAGTCAAACAAACAAAGCAACTTAGGGAACGAAGAAAATTTACTAAAAACATAATTAAGGCGATTGTCTGCTGTTGAGACTAGTGGAAAGATTTTTTTCTTGCGTTCGGGAAGATCAAAACTATCGTTTAAAGGGATATCTTGTTGTAAATGAGGCCAATCTGATTGTTCCTGTGACAACAAACTGGGACCATAAAACCAAAGATTAGAATTTAAAAAATATGATGGAGATATTCTGCGTGATAATAAATTTATTAGATTATCACTTGAATGGATATAGTTCCAGGAGAGTGGATCACATAAACATTGAATTTGCGAAACTGTTTGCAACGAACATTTTAAGTAGATGAGCTGATGCTTTTAGCCATGGATGCTTTGACCGTTGACATGACTTTGGCGAGCAGAAGAGCTGCTCTAAGTACTCGCATGTAAATAGTCGTCTGCTTGATTGGCGCTATTCTGGTTTTTACACAGAATCTTAGTATGACAATTTCCTTGGAATCTACAGATCGGATATATACTATTGCTCCATAACTGAGACAGATTTGATTTATAGTAAAGACAACTTGTGTAGAGCTGTGAGGGAATACTTTCATTCCAAGAAATTTTAAGTTTTCACAAGACTTGCATTATTAACCTGGAGGCAATCGTGACAGGCGATAGGAGACGGGTAGAAGCTATAAGTCCACATAGGTCTCATCTTCTTAGGACCCATCGAAAGGGTTGATTTCACCCTTTAAACGTGAGAAAATGCAGTTATGTGGTCTTATAATCACTAATCCAAGGAGCACTTTTCACCCATTTATAGCCTGTAGCAACTTTTCTGGCTAGGTCAAAAACACAAAAAACTGCATTTTCTCACGTTCAAGTTGGGGAAATCAACCCTTTCGACGGGTCCGTAGAAGATGTGGTCTTATAACCACTAATAAAAGGAACACTTTTCATCCACATTTATTGCCTGTAGAAACTTTTCTGGCTAGGTCAGGAATACAAAAAATGCATTTTCTCACCTGTAAGGGATGAAATCGACGGTGCCGAAGAAGATCAGACCTATGTGGTCTTATAACCACTAATTAAAGGAACACGTGTCACTCATTTCTAGCCTGTAGCAATTTTTCTGGTCAAGTCAAAAATACAATAAACTGCATTTTCTCACGTTCAAGGGGTAAAATCAATCCCTTCGACAGATCCGAAGAATATGAGACCTACGGGGTATCATAACCACTTATCAAAGGAAGGAACAATTTTCACCCATTTCCAGCCTGTAACAACTTTTATGGCTAGGTTAAAAATACAAAAAGCTGCATTTTCTTACGTTCAAGGGGTATAATCAATCCCTACGACGGGTCCGAAGAAGAGTACTATATGGCCTTATAACTACTAATCAAAGGAACACTTTTCATTAATTTTTAGACTGTAGTATTTTTTCTGGCTGTGAGACATGAAGAGAAAAACTGCGTTTTCTTACGTTCAAGGGATGAAATCAACAATTTCAACAGGTCCGAAGAAGATGAGACCCACATGGTCTTGTCGCTAGTAAAGACGGGAACACTTTTCACCCATAATTAGACTGTAGCGAAAAACTGATTTTAAATATTATTTGCTTCAAGGGTGAAACCACCCCTATGAAGCGGCGTGTTGTTAATACTAATAACAAATACGAGGGTAATTTTGCATTCAAATGAAAATGAGCTTCATCAGAAAAGAGAATGTTGTTTAAACTTGGAAAGCGCTCTAACATTGTTTCAGCAAACGCATGGCGTAGATGGCGATCCAGCGGTTTCGATTCCTGCACTAGTTGAAGTTTAGATGGGTGCGATTCAAGGTCTTTTACCAAAATACGCCTTACATATGTTCTTGATATGGCGAGCCTAGCTGTTTGATCTCTTATAACACCCCGTCTCTAACCGACAAAGAGGTACAAGAAAGAAGTGTTTCCATTTTATATTCTGCAAACTTTGTTATTACAGACCTTTCTTTTTGTAGTATAATTTCTTATCTGATTTCTACCATTTTTTCTAAAATTTTGTCATCAACAGTATATATTCGTCTAAACCAGATAAAGGTATTTAAAATAAATGATATATCCGTTTTTTCAATTTTCACAGATGTTTATGTTGGTTTTACATTTTGTCCTGTCATCTAAGGGTGGTTTTGATAACTGTTTCCAATTGACTAATTTTTGATCCAGTTTTACTAAGATGCTTTTCAAATGGTCATTGTTGATCCGGATCATACGTTTTGATCTCCGGATCAAGTGGAAGAAAATAGTTTTTGTAGCTAAACTAGGTGATTTATAAAGAATTTCTTTATTTAATATACGGATGAGAGGTCCTTCTTACACAAATCGTATATTTTTCCGTTAGATTGACAGATATTTTAGGAGAAATAGACTATATTCATGTGATCCATTACTACAAAGACGCCTTCTCATCGGTCCATTTTTATCCGGAGCAAGAATTTTAATCCCGCGGATCAATAGCAAAATAGGGCCTGAATGTCCTTGTTTTCGGCATCTCACTTTCTCTCATTTTGACAGTTCTGCCTGACCATTTATGATTAATTTTGCACACCACCCTACCGTCCTAGTTCCATCTGTTCTGGTCACTCTAAGTGAACGTATCGTTTTTGATGGAACACTCACTGGTCGCGTTTTCTCCTTCCGAACATGTTCCTGAATATTTTTTTTCTGGTCAAAGGAATGCTATTTTATTGAATAGCGATTCGCGTCTGGATCGTTTTAATTTCTTTCAGGAATTGCACTTCACTAATTCTTCCCAAGGAAAAGTTTTGAATGGCTCTCGGCAATCTGTTGGCTTTCATCAAACAGTATCCATATTTGATTACGTATTCAGATAGATTCTTTCAAGAGAAAAAAAGGTTGATAATTGCTTATTGACTTATAAGCGATTCAATGCACAAATACGCTCAAAGATAGCCTGCCAGTCCGTCATTTTGAAACCTAATGATTTAACGTTTTCGGGTTATATTCATCAGAACCTTTAAATTGAGAAACCTCATGGGCCAACATTCCATTTAAAAATATTCCAAAACGGCGCTTAATCATCTTGAAATTTTCAACTGCCACTTTCAAAATGTATTTATGTATCAGTTTTATAAATGCTATAATATATACATACCTATAAGTTGTGACTGGAATGCAGAACTATAAAATCCATCTCCGTTACCACTAAAAAAAAATATTTTGAATATATAACCATCAGGTTTTCAAACAGCCTTCAAAGCACAGCCAGTGCAGTACCCTATTTCTCCTTGTACTGATATTCTTTGTAGTTTTTCTCACACTAAAACTAATTGGTGACTAATATATTTACAATTTTTGAAAACCAGTCGCACTTGCGGAATAATTTGTAATGCACAGGCGCCAAAAGATTTTTAATTAATTTTTATTTTTCAAAAATCTTGGGTATCTCAGAATCTAACAAGATTGTTCATTTTAAACTTCACACCACCGCGTGGGACAAACTCCTACTATAAGTCAATCTTAATCAGTTCTATGCTACGCCTTCTGCGGAGAAATATTATAGAAAAAATCCAAAATTACCTTTTGTTGAGAACTTTTAGGTGAATGTAGAAAAATATCATGTAGAGGCATATCGGCAGTATGATCAGGCAGATCGCTCTAGCAATAAGATGTTTTACTGTATCCATCTGGAATGAAAGATAATCTCTACAGGCATGTAGAAGCTCCAAATAAAAAGTTCTGCCCATGTGATTGTTCCTAGGTTGTGCTTCAGAATTAGTTATAGCATAGCATAAATACAACTAATCAAAAGCAATTTATAATTTGAATGAACTAAGATATTTATTTTTCTCCTTGTTTTCTGGCTGTTATAGTCTAATCATATTAGTCGAAAATACCCCTTGTTTGCGAAATAATTGTCTGGTTTTATTGATGCAAGTTGTTCAAGGGGGTATTTAAAACATGGACGCATACAATGGGTACACCAACTTTTGGTTTTGGCACTTGTTGCTACTGCGACGATAATTTCACGCAGTTACTTGAAATTCTTCAAATCCGAAGGCTTCTCTTACTTCTAAACGACCACAACAAAATTGTAGTCGATTGGTCAAGTAGTTTTTGAGAATTTTTAATTGTTTATCCCAAAACACCTGTCTTAGGGCCATCACCACTAGTTTATTGAGCAATATACAGGGTTCGTTCAAAGGACATTTTATAGCAAAATACACGAGTTTATCTTGCCGACATGAATCACAAGCCATTCCGAAAAATAATGGTTATTATTATGCGAAAAACGAAGGGTTACGTTTTTTCTGCTAAACAAATTCAAGCACTTCGTATTTGTGATTGAACACATTCGCTAAGATATTCGAAAAACATATGTACGTTATTACATACATTTTAAAACAAAGCGGATGTGTCTATCACCTTTTGTTGCGAAGAAAAAAAATTTTTTTCATGGTTTCTGCATGCTCTTCTGTATACATATTTAGAGCTGAATTTTTTACATGGTCACAGATGAGCCTTAAAGTTTATGAAAAAAATATTTCATACTGAAAAGCGCTGAACTGTTTATAAAGTTAGCGCGCAAACTGAAAACACAATTATGTTTCAAACTGTCTTAGACTAGTTAGTATGTAGCATATTATGCTAAAGGACTGCATTATTGTTAACTGCATGACTTTGTCAAATAAGTAGGTCACGTAATCCAGTTTCTTCGTGAAGACATGTAATTCCCTGGACCTTTTTTCTGAAAGTATTAATATAGTATACGTCGGTTTCGGAAATCTCATGCGATTAAAGCGACTGCGAGTTCAAAATGTTGGAAATTAAACTCGACAAACCTTAAAAACAGTAGACAAATATCAACCAATTGTAGCGAACTGACAGTCTGAAAAATTAGGCAAAATGCTCGCTATTAGTCTCTAATACATAATAAAGCTTCAGCATTGTATCTTGTATAGTTTTCGAGAGTATTCTAATTATTTATAACAGATTCGATATGCCTGCAACGTTCGCTTGACATTTGTCAGTGTCAAGTATCGTGGTATAAAAGTCCAGTAAATCAAGAGGCGTCGTAGCGTCATGGGAAGGGTTAACGATTGCAGAACTGCATGGCGGAGGTTCGAATCCACAAAGCTATCTAAAGCTTGTGTAATGCACTACAACTTAATTAACTTGAGCGTATTATCACAAACAAAATTTCGGATGTATTTCATTATTGTTGGTTAATAATTTACACATCTACGATATTTGTTTTTAAAAATTATCTGCTATGATCCGACATAATGTTTCTGAAATTTTATGAAAGTAATATAAAAAAAATTATAAACAATCCTACGTATACCCCTGGTTTCCTGTTTGCAAGCTTTCATAAAGCATTTCTTTTTCCAATTTAAATAAAAAATAATAGAAAAAAGGAGCTTTGTGGATTCGTCCTGCGGTTCTGCAATCGTTAACCCTTCCCAATACGCTACGACGCTTCTTGGTTTACTGAATCTTTCTACCAATATACTTGACACTGACAAATGTCAAGCGAACGTTAGAGGCATATCATTCTGTTATAAACAATTAGGATACTCTTGAAAACTATACAAGATACAATGCTGAAACTTTAAATAATGTATTAGGGACTAATACCGAGCATTTTGCAGACGGTCAGTTCGCTACAATTGGTTGATATTTGTGTACTGTTTTTTCATTTTCTCGAGTGTATTTTCCAACATTTTGAACTCGCAGTCGTTTTAATCGTACGAGATTTCAAAAATAGACGTATAATATATTAATACTTAACAAAAAGTCCCAAGGAATTACATTTCTTGTAATGAAACTGGATTACGTGAACTAGTCTACGATAGATTGAAACATAATTGTGTCTTCAAATTGCGTGCTAACTTTATAAATTTCAGATTTAAATATGTATACACAAGGGAGTATGAAGAAATCTTGAAAAAAATCCTTTTCTTCGCAACAAAAGGTAATAGACACATCCGCTTTGTCTTAAAATGTCTATAATAACGTATGTTTTTCGAATGTCGTAGCGAATCTGTTTAATTACTTACTAAATACAAAATGTTTGATATTTTTTTCTCGCATAAAAATAACAATTACACTACTTCCGATTGGTTTGTGATTCATGTCGGCAAGGTAAACTCGTGTATTTTGCTACAAAATGCCCTTTGAACGATCCCTGTATATTGCTCAGTACGCTAGTAGTGATGGCCGGAAGACAGGTGTTTTGGGATAAACAATTGACATTCTCAAAAACTACTTGACCAATCTACTCCAATTTCGTTGAGGTTATTTAGAAGTAAGAAGCCTTCAGATTTGAAGTAGCTGCGTAAAATTTCGGCCATAACTTTTTTACTATTAATGGGATCTTTTTACGTGTGGTCTCATTCTGCAGGTCTCATAAACACCTAAAAATCTTATACGAAGAGTCTTTTCATTCCTGCCAACACTTTCGATTGATCCCAAAAAAACAAGTTTTCACATTCCTTGTTGTCGACTAAAAAGTCTTCCAAAATTGGTGTACCCATTTTATGTGTCCATATTTTAAATACCCACTTGAATGACTTGCATCAATAAAAACAGACCTTACAATTATTTCGGGGAAATTTGCTAATATGATTAGACTATTGAATGGAACCACATACATATGTGGGCTTGAGTTTTTGTCAACGTTAGCTAGTTTGCAAAAACTCAAGACTATAGATGTTTCATTTACGAGCCAGAAAACATGTATACTTATCAGCATGAAAACCACAGGATAAGTTTCAAATATTACATCATCATCTGTTTTTGTATCCCCTTTCAATATCTCATTCTTTAGAACCTTCAAGAATAGTAATATATGAGTACGGTCCGACCGAATTTGGTCAAAAAATACACCTTCGGCTAGAACAGGCCAAAGGTTCGCTTCGGGGAAGCAAATAATCTTGGTGATCTTAAGAACAATCGAAATAATTTCCAAAAGGTGTAACGAACGCCACCATACGACTCTAGGCTCTTGGTCGTTTAGCTGCCATTTAGTATCAGTGTACATATTTTGTTAGGCGTTTAATCTTGCAGAACAAACGTATGAACATAAAAGAAACAATTTATTATGTGATTTTGGTATTCTGCAATTGAAGGGTACGGGGGAAAAAGGTGAATGTCACAAATTTAATGTTTTGTAGTTAGAACCGGCAACATGTAATGTAGTCTTAACGCAGTAGAATCCCACGAGGTATCGGAAACACGCAAGAACTGCTGTAACTTAAGATTGAAAATTGAACATTCTTGACAAAAGGCCCATTTTCAGAAATAATCGAATTAAAATATGATAATTATTTGGTGAACGCCAACAAGAATATTCCAGTATATGGAGACAAAAAACAGAAATCGATTCTTGTATTATCAGTTCAAAATGTAAAACATTAATTGGTCATATTGAGTATTTGAAGACTTCTGATATTTCGAAACCTTTGTCTGTACCTAACATGGAATTGAACTATGATAATATTATGTTGCTTAAAAGTACTGATGTAAAGGATTATTCAGATATCCAATTGAATAATATTTTATTGCATGTTAAATTAAAAAACTCAGATCTTTCACACAAAATTTCCACAATTAGCATTCTATCTATTTTATGTACCCTGACATCTATTATATGTCTACTTTGTTTAAAAAAGCAATTGCTCTCTCTTTTGAAGACTAAAGAACCCAATCAGTCAAAAATGAAATTGAACTTAATGAAATTTTTCCTTTGAACCAGGAGGTTCAATCTTCTTGATGTGGGAGGAATTACGGCACTGCTATGATGATCTCATACGTAGAGATGCTTAGGTTTGCACTTTTCAATTCCCTTGTTCTAGCTTAGGTTATAAATAGAAGGTACTTGTAAAAGAATGTGATCAGTACCCATTTGTCTTCTGTTAAATAAATCGTTCGTTGTTCGTATATTCATAATTGGCACAACGCGCTTGGTTCCATTCAAACTTCGCAAAACATGTGTAAATTGGACACCCAATTTCAAACATTTCTATGATTATTGTGACCAAATGCTAGTAAGCTAAGTGAATGTAAAGCATTTCGACTAAATCCTTGTGACTAGGAAAGAACTTTAGTTGTAAGAATCTTCTAGAATCATGTGCAATTTGGCAGCAGTATCCTACTGAAAGTTTACTTACCACGGGTCTCGTCATAACACCCAGTATATTCCATAAATCTACTACAGTCATGAATCCAATTAATAAAATTACGAATAAACCAACAAACTTCACTGAAATGCAGCATGCCAGCATACTACCTAAACAAAAAAAAGAACGTTCGACAGTTAATGAGAGTTTTCCAAGAAGTATAAAATGCCATAAAAGAAGTCGAATGTGTGGTATTAACGAATAGACCAATGTAATAACATTTTTTTCAGGACGGTTGCAGATGCAGCAAACCAATAGTCGTTTTAGATACTACAGTGGGCAGCCAAATTCTAAGGCGCAGTCAAATTATTTTATTCCTTTATTACATTAGGCGCAGTTTCAAGTGCTGTAAGTGTGGCTACAGTTTAGATTTATGTTCAATGTGTTCAATAACTCAGTAGTTAAGTGGATGTTGAGAGTTAAAGGGCAAGGATATTTTGTTTACTAAATTGTAACCGTGAGAGGGTTACATGGTACTGGAGACGCAAGTCTATTGAAAACAGAATTATTAGGATAAGGTTGCTGTAAAAAACAAATAGATGTATTACCTCAGTGCGATCACATACGATGACCACCAGACGTGTGTATTTTACACGCAACAAGTATGAAAAATCGAAAGCAAAGTGGACCATGTTTCGAAAAGTAGCATTTTTTACAGGGAATTTTAAAAAATAGAAACAGACAACAGACAAAAAAGGCGTGTTCAAAATAACCGATGTCTGGGCTTTCGAAAGGGTGCCGTTTTCTGGTATGAAATAAAATAATTAAAAAAACATAGTAGAATTATTAGAAAGATAAAACGATACTTCTCAAAATGCAGTAAAAAAAATAAAAACGATTTGACCAAATTTTAGTTTTTCCCAAATACCTCAGAAAGCCATGAAATGTTTACAAGTTTCTCAACGGCATGTAAATACGCCCCAAATAACGTAGGTTTTTCGTTTAACCTAAGCTATATCTCCCACAGGTATTGAGATACCCATGCATTGGATCCTTAACATTAGCACAATTCAGACGGAATGACGATAAGATTACATAGTAAGCATATCTGAATAAATATCACACAGTTTCCTTATTGAATGCCAATATTTAAGAGGATGATTTTTGGGTCCATTTTAAGAAGACAACTTTAAGTCCAAAACGTCTCAACTTTCAAGGTACAGGATGGTAAAGTTTTCAATAGAGAAAGTCAGCGGCACGCTACTGATTTAAAAACAAATACAATCTGTATTCATTTATGTGCAGATTTGAACCCTTGATTTTTCTAGTCCGACGCACGGTTTTCAACTATAAAAACAAAAGTTTTTCTTCGCATAGCGATATTGTCATATTAACGGTATTGTTATGATCATGCACAGAAACTGTTTTTATTTTTCAAGTGAAAACCGTATATTGGACTAAAAAAATCAAGAGATCCAATTTACTTAGAAATGATCGGAGATTTTTAGAAAAAATTTTATTTTAGGAGTAATCAGTGGTAAGCCATCATTGTCTGTCAATCTAGGTAGATAAAAATCCGTACTCACGCAATGGTGGACAAAATTGTAGTACTTAAAAAAATGCCTCTTGATACATCTTACATGTAAGCCAAAGTTCATTAAAATATACTAACTGATATATAAAATGCAACATCCAGAATTATTTATTGAATTTTGATAAAAACTTGTTAACATATTTGCTATCATGGAAGTATACGCTAATAAAATGTTGATGGCATTCCGAACCGTACTTTTTTTGCAAAGGCTTTGGCATCACATATTAACAACACAGGTCCCTATATGAATTATGGCAGTATTGAGGTTCTTGACAAAGAAAAAAAGTCTCAAAACGTTTATTTTTAGAAATGTCCCACATTTTCATGACAGATCATTGCATGAATAAAAAGGCTGATGTTAAGCAGCTTAATGTCATTTATTCCTACCTGGTGAATTGCGAAAAGCTAGAACGGCTACCTATCCAAATCGATCCAACGTCGTCCCAAAATTAAAATACATTTCCAATTGCTTATCCGGTTAATTGAAATTTCTCACTCACAATCTTTAATATAAATTCACATAACCCATCTTTTCAAGTGTGAATCACTATCTTACATTCGTACACTCATATGAACTACACACTTTTCCAGAACAAATTAATTCAGCATTTTGGTAATTTGGGTTGAGGTTTTCCGAGCGTCCCTAGTATACTTCATACCCAAATTGGACAATGAGGTTTACAGTTCCACGTTCTATCGCGTCAATCACATGTCATCTGTCGACGCATTATATTTCCGTTCCGTCCCCCTCTCCACGTGTAGCGGAAGTAGGAGGTTAGAAACTGCATTCCGATTGTTTCCCCAAAAATTTCTTCTCGTTAATTAATAATGTTTAATATGTTCGTGTGTTTTGATAGTTTTAACACATAACGATGGTATCTGTCGTTATCAATAAGCCCAATGTTTCCGTCCGATTGTTTTTATATTTGTAACAAGTGCTCTACGTTCGTTTTGAAACACCATTTGGCTGCAACCTCAACGACGAGTAAGTTGTTTGAGAATTTAAGTCGTTCCTGTATTGGTTGCTAGCATCACAATTGTGTTTTCAGATCCTGATGAAGGCTCCATAGAGAATGCCGAAAGCTTGATTTTATCGTCAAAAGAGTTAACTAAAGCCTAAAAGTTTGCCAATTTCCCTATTAACAATTATATATAATAATATAATATATATATATATCTTGAGACGTGGTCATTGTCGTTTAGACCAGTAAGGTGAAAGATAAAGCTTCCGCCTTTTGTTGGGTACTTCGACAAAATTCAAGCAAAGAGGACTCATTATGCTTTATTAATATCTAGCTTTCAATGGACTTTGCCATATATATACGAGTATGACTCCGAAGAGAAAGCTCCAATCTGCCCGTATTGGCAATAAGCATGTTTTTCGGTCTAATCTAAAACGAACATGCAGAGTATCATCACAGTGAGTCATCTCTATCTAGTACTAAACTGATCGCCACGTGATGAAAGTTTTTTCACGTGGCGATGTACTAAATGGATTTTTTCCAAGATGTGGAAGAAATTTATTAATAATTTGACTAACTTATCCCAATTTTAATCCGTTTTGTAAATTTTGCAACGCATGGCTAAGTGTTTTAAAATATAATAATGTACCTTATGCGTGCAGTTTTTTATTATTTTAATAAGTGGTCTCATCCACGTCTTTCTAAAAACATTTAACAGCAACCTCAACGACCAACTCCTGAAGATGATACCATAGTCGATCAAAAGAATGAGATTCAAAACAAGAGTTCCACTTCGCTATATCTTGTCGATTTCCAAAAAAATATAGATTGTATTTCTTTCTCTTACTTAGTTGAGTAAGAAATACAATCTAATTAATCTCCAATTCTTTTATATCCGTTAGTGGTTTTTTGAAAAACAGCTATGGATTTTTTGTGATTTTTCTAACTGAACCTCATACATCCAGTTTTTTCATTTCATTTTAAAATGTGGTCTCATTTTGTGCTAGCCTGTATACAACTACAGACTGAACAATCTTATTTTCTTGTATTTCCACAACAAAAAAGGTTTACACTTGTTAGAACTGTCTAAAGCTAATAGTTTTCTAGATATTTGTTTTTAAAAGTTCCAATGCATTATTTGTATCATGATGATAAAACATTTTTGTAACATAATAATCAAGTTGCTTTGGATAATATCTGAGTAGCGTTGCTGTGGTTTCTAAGGTTTGTCATAATATTGCTTTAAACTTCATCAATAATTTTAAGTTGACAATAAGTTATTAAACATCAAGGAGTATACGTTTGATGAATATTCTGATATGCATTTAATGTACGGATTGGCAAGACGTAATTAAAAGCACGAACATTGTACGCTGAGAGATTCCTTAATAGACACCTGCCTAATTCAAATACTTTCCAACGAATCGATCAGCGGTTACGAGAAACTGGTAAGAAATGATTATAACCTTATTTTGAGTAGTAAAAACCATTTGGATTTTAGGTAGTTTTGCTCAAAATACGGGCCGACATAGTGGAGCTCCCAGAACTGTACGTGCAGCTGAAGTTGAAGAAAATGTTTTAGATGCTGTCTTTGAAAATCCTACAGTTGGGGTTAGGAATGTAGCTCGAGTTTTTCAAGTTTCCAAATGTACAGTAAATACCATTTTTCAAGAGCAACTGCTACATCCATACCACCTGCAAAAAGTACATGGTTTAAGCGCGGATGATGAACCCGCAAGGGTAGAATTATGTATGTACATGACTCTTAAAGAAGTTTAATCACGACAATGGGTTTACTTCATTATTTTCGGGCGAAGCAGGATTTGGAAGGGATGGACCCATTAACTCGCATAATCTTTATGCAGATGAAAATCCTCATGCAACAATACAAACCCGCCACCAAGTCACCAAGTACATTCAAATTAAGTCAGGAATAATTGCACAATATTTAAAAGGATCCGTTGAGTTACCACCTAGACTAAGGGGCCAAAGGTATTTACAATTTCCTGAAGAACAATTACCCACTCTGCTGGAAGATCTTCCATTACAAACTCACATGAATTTGTAGTTTATGCACGATGGCGCTGCACCTTATTTTAGTATATTAGAGAGCACCTAAATAGAGTTTATCCAGGCCAGTGGATAGGCCGATCAGAACCTGTATCGCGGCCGGCTAAGATCACCAGATTTAAATCCTATGTATTTGTTCTTCTCGGGTGATTTAAAACGACACATTTATAATACGCCAGTGGAAACTGTAGATGATCTTCGACAAAGAATTTTCAACCATAGCCAGGGAATGAAAAATGACATCTGAATGCTTTGGAGAGTGCAGCAAGGATTAGTTCGTCGAGCTCGAGAGTGTGTTAGGCAAGGCGGTGCTCATTTTGATAAATTTTTGTAGTTATTTCCATTTATTGTTTTGTTGCCATCCTCATTTGTTATTGTTAAAAAACATAGCAACGCTATTCAGATATTATCCAAAGCAACTTGATTATTATGTAATAAAAATGTTTTATCATCATGGTACAAATAATGCATTGGAACTTTCAAAAACAAATATCTCTAACAAGTAAACCTTTTTTGTTGTGGAAATACGAGAAAATAAGATTTT